GTTTTTTAAGTTTTTTTTTCTTCCAGGATCTCAAAAAACCCTTTGACAAGGCCTGGAAGGACTACGAAACCAAATTGTAAGTGTGTGTGTATATGTGTGCGTTGAAAGAGTGCATGTCTGTGTTGCTTATAGACTGCTGTCAGTGTCTGTATGCGTTTGTAAGTGTCTGTGTTTATATTAGTGCTTCATAAAATGGCCAGAATATCACATTATGGTGTTATTGCTGTTAAGTTAATGTGATTAATTATTAATTCCTTATTTGTTTTTAAACCGTTAACCCATTTTTCTGGTTTGACTCATTGAGCCATCCGTAATTCCAGACTGAAGCCCAGCTGTTCGTTGCTTTGGCTGACTCTGCGACTGCAGCCCTCTCTTATAAACACAGCATTTAAATGATGCATTGAAGGATAGTGAAGTTAGATAAACGCACTGCTGTACCAGTTAGATTTCTTTGGCTCTAAGTCACCTTAACTCACCAGCCCGTCTCTCTGTTTTCACTTAGATAGCATGATATTGTGGAGAGGATTCAGTTCAGTCCAGTCAGTTTATCATCACAGTGGGAAACCTGACTTACAGTCAGGTGCACACAATAGTATATACTATATATATTCTATACATACATACATCATCTAAACCGCTTATCCTTCTGGGTCGCGGTGGGGTGCTGGAGCCTATCCCAGCTGTCATTGGGCGGAAGGCAGGATACACCCTGGACAGGTCGCCAGTCCATCGCAGGGCAGACAGACAGACAGACAGACATACACACTCACACCTAGGGGCAATTCAGCATGTCCAGTCAGCCTGACTGCATGTCTTTAGACTGTGGGAGGAAACCGGAGTACCCGGAGGAAACCCACGCAGACACGGGGAGACCCTGGTTGCCCGGCCGGGAATCGAACCCAGGCCATTCTTGCTGTGAGGCAACAGCGCTACCCACTGCGCCACCGTGCCGACCTGTATTCTATACAGTAGTATAGAAAATGTACTTTGTCATGACATCATGTTAAGTGTCATGACACTTTCTGGCGCTAAATGACAGACGCTGTAGCTCAGTGAATGCCGCGGTGCCGTAATGCTTTATGATATGACGTAGCTTGCTAAGTCAGGCTGAGCATTTTCTGTGGCTCTTCGCTGAAGTGAGTTTCATTCTACGATTTATGTGATTTAACTGTGGTATCGTCAGTGTTATGTCACTGTGATATACACTAAGCTACAAAGCCAGTGGTTGTGTTCCTAATGATATAATGTGGTGTCATTCAAAAAATGTGGTGTCATTCAAAAAAAATATCACTTAATTCAAACTACGTTGAGCTCATTATGCTATTTCCAAAAGGCTTGCTCGTATGTTTATGTGGATTCTGACATCGTTTGTAGGTCTTTCACAATTACTATACACTTAAGGGTCTTTGTGGGGTTTTCAGTAAAGATAATGGCTCTATATAGACCATGAACATGTGTAGAATCCTGAAAGGTTCTTCAGATTGATGGAGAATGTGCTGTAGATGGTTTTATATAGAAGCTTTTTGAAATGGGCTCTACATGGAACCCAAAAGGGTTCTTCTGTTGTAACAAGCTTGACCCCATAACAGTAGAAGAACCTTTTTTGGACTGCAATTGGACTGATTTACTTTTTGCCTGAGAAATATTGGGGGAAATTTTGTAGTTCATTATATCATATCAATAATTTTTATTCATTATAATGATTCGCTTTACTGTAGGGCAGCGTTCATTAGGCTACATGACACCTACATAAGCCTTTCATGACACTTCGGTAATCATTTATAAAGGCTTATTCCAACAAGCATAAGTTGTCGTAACACTCTCTGGAGTGAACTTGACTAAAGCAGCCCTGGTTATCGTAATTTTTAATACTCACATTTGTGACAGCTGATGCTTGTTGGAGTGAGTCTCTGTAAATGTTAATGTAGGTTTATGTCAGTTGTCATAAAAGGCTTATGTAGGTGTAATGTACACTCTTAAAAATGATGGTTCTTCAAGGGTTCTTCAATAAAGAAAAGGATTCTAGATAGCACCAAAAATGGTTCTTCTATTGTTATGATGTCAGGCTTGGTACAATAGAAGAACCCTTTTTGGTGCTATCTAGAACTATTTTCAAAAAGGTTCTGTATAGAACCATCTACAGCACATTCTCTATCAATCTGAAGAACGCTTTCACAATGCAAAGAAGCCTTTAATCATGCAAAGAGTTTTTAAAGTGTTCATGGTTCTATTTAGAACCATTTTCTTTATTAAGAACCATATACTTAGGTGCTCTTGAAGAACCATCATTCAGTGTGTAGCCTTATGAACGTCACCCCTAAGTAAGTTCTTAAAGGTGCTTGAATCACTGACTCAAATCACTGACTCAAATTAGTGAATCGAATTGCTGTTTAGTGAATCGAATCAAATTGAATCATTCTTAATTCACAATGATTGTTGAATTGAATCGAGAACCAATGAATCGAGAATACCAAAAGAATACTTTTCTGTATGTGTACTTTTGCCTATTAGTGATGGACTCATCCCCCTGAACAAGTCTATTAAAAACAGAGATGCACCACTTTTTCCCTTCTGATACCGATACCTGATACTTTAGTATCGGCCAATACCAAGTACCGATGAACTCTATGTAACTTAACTCACCTGATATCTATGCAATTACATTTTTTAAATACTTTATTTTGGTAAAATCTCTGTTCTGCATCACAAATTCTGGCATTTGCTTGTTGGATTATGCTTGTTAGATGCTTAAGAAAACTTATTTTGGTTTTACTGTATATAATTAGTATTTACTATTATATAATTGGTATTAAGAATCATGTTTAACAACTTTAGTAAATGTAAAATATCTTTATTGTGCGAAACAGTTAAAAACCGAGCTGAACGGTAAACAGATAAACCAGTGGTGTTTACACATCAGCACACAGCAGCTTCTCTGGCTCAAAATCGGAGCTGAATGTTGTTTCGTATCCAGATTTCTGAAGTCGTTTGTCTCAGACGTGCGTCTTGTTCACTTGCGCTGCATCTCTTAGCGTCAGTTCAGTAAATATCATCATTCAGTATCAGCGACTTCCAGTGTTTTCTCTGGCTTGATTGAAGCGACGGGCTGCAAGACCCGCTGACCGACGGAGGCACAAGCCCGGCTAGCGGGCTGCTATGCTAAAAGCTAAATCGAGGCTAAAGGCGATCATTATGAGTCCAGCGGTTCCTTCCGCTCTCTCAGTAACATTAACTCAGACTGTGAGTGACCACACAGCGACAGACGAGTGATACTGAAAGAAGCAGCTCAGGTGTTCAGGTAAGCGGCTCCGTTAGCGTGTTATTAACACCGAAAACTGCTGTTACAGGTTTTGCCACGAGCGTTTTTACTGCTGCCTGTTGCCCCACACCGCCGACGTGGTGTTAGGTTCTATATACTGATGTCAGAAATTGCTTTGTGGTATCGGTCAGATGTATCGGTATCCCCATCACGATACTGATACTGCGTTTAAGTTCCAGTGCCGATACCGATATATTATAGGTATGGGTGCAGTACTAATTAAAAAGGGACAGAAAAGCCAAAGCTGGCCACATGGGCAGTGAAGAGTCTCCACCTGACCACCTGCTTACACAGAAATCCTCCCAGCGTCAAACCAGACACAGTTTCTGAATAATAACAGGCCTTTGTGATAATAATTGAAGGCAGCTGTTCAGGATCTTTGGGCCATGATAGCTTTGAGTACCCGAACTGTCATTTGTTGTATTTAAAAGAAACACTTTAAAAGGGCGTTTAAAAGTGTTTCACTTTAGTCCAGCATTTCAGTCCTTTTTAAATCCGAACGCTGTCAGCACAGATTACCATCCTGCGCTGATTCTCAACAGCCGTTCTCTGCACAATGTTCTTCTGAAAGCAGTATAAATCTCACTGTTCGCTACTTATGTGTAATTGATAAGTCCATTAGGGTGAGTGTATTATGTATGTGTGCGGTCTGTTTTCAGTACGAAGATAGAGAAGGAAAAACGAGAGCACGCCAAGCAGCACGGAATGATCCGCACGGAGATCACGGGCGCCGAGATCGCTGAGGAGATGGAGAAGGAGCGACGCCTCTTTCAGCTCCAGATGTGTGAGGTCAGTACCAGGGACGGTCATGGTTATTCAGATATGTGGTATCTAAACTCATCTTAGTATTCGTTTACTTACAGTGCTGTGCAAATCTCAGAGACCGCCCTTCTATGTATTTAAATCCCAGTCAAAACAGTCATTATATACAAATTATTAATTTTTCAGCTTCAGTAAAAAAAGCAGAAAACACATATTTAACAGAAAATGACACAGACGTCTCAACATCACGTTGTTCAGTGTTCAGTGAGTCACTCTTCACCTTTATTCCAGCTTCCATTCTTTTCAGGAGACTCACTTTCAGCTCCTCAAAGAATCTGCAGACACACCTCCAAAGTTCAGTCTTAGAAGCTGGTTGATCATTTTCTGAAGTAATCAAACACATTCAGTGGTGTTGAGGTCTGGACTCTGGGGTGGTCAGTCCATCGTTCAGCTTCTTTGTTTGATGTGTCCGTCTCCTTTTCTCAGTGAGGTTCTTCTTGACAGCTACACATCCTTTCAGACCCACAGCGCTGAGTCGTCTTCTCACAGTGGAAGGATGGACAGAAACACCTGTGGATGTTTTCAGATCTGAAGCAGCTTGATTTTCTCCTCTCTCTCAGAGATGAAAGCTTTAAGTGCTGTTTATCTGATGGGGGCAGTTTTGGGGTCGACCAGGTCTTCCAGGCGGTTGTTAGGAGTCTCATTTTCTCTGTAGCTTTGAATCAATTTTTAACCCCAGTTTTGGAGACAGTTTTGGATTATTGTATATCTAATCTCAGAAACGTCTCCTTTAGCCAGTTTAGATGCACATGAGAGATAAATGCGTAAGGCAGCTGAGGTGAGTTTGGGTAGTTGCTTGTGTGAATTTTAGTGTCTTTTTAAAGAGGAACAAAATGTCAGTGAGATCTTTGGGAGCAGCTTTTGTTGGGAGGACACAGCTGTTCATTAAGATTTGAAGCATTTAAGAGTTAAAATGGCAACAGAGCGCACAAAAGTGAAGCGTGGGCCAATTAAATACTGAAACATATCATATTACACTTTGTGTTGAAGGCTTTTGTGAACTTTTCTGTTCAATATCTGTGTTTACTGACATTGAGAAGTGAATGACCTACTTAATTGCCGGTTTGACTGAGATTGAATAGACGAAAAGGTGGTCCCTAATTTGCTTTCTTAATTGAGTATCTGAATAAAATGGTTTAAACCGTAAAAAGAAATGATGTATACTATTGTTGTTTTGGGGCCTTGGAACTCCTGAGTTGCTCAAAATAAGATACACACACAGCAGAACCTTCATCAAATTGAAATCATAATAAAATATTTCCTCTTCTACAAACACATCAGTGTATTAATTGAAAGTTAGACTCCACACGTTTTCTCCACTTGTTTTGAGTGACATTAAGACACATTAAGATATTAAGACACAAGCACATTAAACAAATTGGTGATGTCTAAGCAGAAATATATCAAAATGCATCAAATTCAAAGTGGGCATATATTTAAAAAAAAAAAAACTATAAAATTTCTCAATTTGAACATTTGATATGTTGTCTTTGTAGTATTCACTATTTAAAAAATGATTTACATAATTTGCATATCAATGCATTCTATTTTTATTTACTTTCTGTAAAGCGTCCCAACTTTTTTGGAAATGGGGTCGTATTTCAGATTTAGAAATATGTACTTTTTATCTTTCTGTAGTCTATTAAAGCACATACACCTAAAACACAATGATCAATCAAGAAACCACCAACTAATGAGGTGTAGCTCACCTCCTGGACCAGGGGTGTCAAACTCAACCACTAAAAGGGCCAACAGATCAGTGGACCTGCAACCATTTCATTTTTTCTTAACATTTTGCTGTGACCTGAACTGGCCATTGTTTCTTCAGCATATGCAAAAACTGCAACAGCACAGTAGACACTGAAAACTTGAACTTTCAAAGATAACTTTAAAATAAAATAAATTGTTTTATGTAAAACAAGCTACATTACCTGGGTCATTCTACAGAAACGTCCATTTTTGTGTCCCTAGCTTTTACAGATATACTTAAAAAACATATTAGGGTTACAATTTATTTATATTTTTAAAATAAAGCAATAAGTTATTTTAACAATTACACCTTCTTGAGCCTCAATTCAGAAATATTGGTTTTTAAATCAATTATCTAGAATTCCAAGCACCACAGAAGAGCTCGTCCTCACAGTCATGTGTAAAAGCTGAGGCCATATTTTGAAGAAAAAAGCACATTTTAACTACAATAAACATGACTATGGAATATATGAATTAAATGACAAAGAAAACAAATGTCAAATAAATATTATAAAATATATAATGAAAGTTGTGGTGCCCAGGAGTCGTGTCACTGGGGTTATTATATATATTTTGAAATAAAAGTCACACTGATGACATCACTCGACTTCCTTTTACCTGTTTTCTGAGGATCTATGAAGAAAAGCACATGGTGAGTCCACTGTGTCTTTCAGTTATCAGAGATTTTCTCATTTAGCTCATGATTTCATATGAAGCTTTTAGCTGAAGTCACTGGTGTGACCGACTTTATTCTGAGGTAACTGTGAAAAAATAGAACACAAATGGATTAAATTCCATATTTTAGTGGATATTCCATGACTGACAACATGTGGTTTGATGCTCTGCAGCAGCCATTCTGTAAAATGCATTTTTCATTAAAATGTCTCTGGTGTTCCTTTATTATATGTGACACTAATGACAATCGGTAACACCAGTGACTCCTATGGAGAGATAGAAAAGTGGACGTTTCTGTAGAATGACCCATCTACAGATAACTGTTAAACTTATTTAAATGTCCACAGGAGGTAGGTTTTTGAAACCTTAAACTAGACACCAGTCATTCTTTTTGTGTAACTGCTGGCCATTAGATCATTTTTGGGGAAAGCGGACATTAAGGTGCAGTGCGTGCTGGGGATTGTAGTGCAGCTGTTGGTGAAAAGGGCTAATATTAATAGAAAATTAAAATAATTTTGCAGGCCGAATAGGTTTGTGCCTCGGGCCTTATGTTTGACACATGGATCCCAGACTGTTGTTATTTTTAATGCTGCATTAACATTAGCGGTGCAGTTTAAACCAAGACCAGGTGGCCCTACAAGTTTAATAAGCAGCTGCTTTTTCTAAAGTCCTAGACATTATTCACAAGATCACAGCGTCAGAATCTTCTATCACGATCGACTGTGTTTTTCCACATGTGCTTTTTCTAGCGTGCGTCTTTTACCAAACACTTGAAGGCTTTCAGCAGAGCATCTAATACTAAAGCAGGAAGTTCCTGTTGCTCAGTTACAAAACAAACAGGCCGTTTTTTACTTGAAGGCAGCTGCGTTGCATCATATCAACTTCTAAAAATTTCAGCAGTCGCAATAGCGGCGGTTCAGGCCGCTTCACCGAATGTTCAGCCTTTTTAAATGTTTACAGATTTCTCTCTTACGCACTGTTCAACAACAAGTCCTAAGCCAACTGTTCAGAGTGCATCTGATAGTAGTTCAGCAGTTCGGTACAGTTAAGCGACTTCTAGGAATGTCTGTGAGAGCCGATTAAGGTCAGGCCCTTAACCGAGAGCATGAACTAGAGCAGGTTTGACACTGTATCATCAGCTTTAGGTGAGCTGGAGAGGTCCAGCGGCTTTTTTTTTTTTACGTGTTTTTAGGGACTGTCAGTTTGTATGTGGGGCAATAACACAGCGTCACTGGCTTTCAACCTCAACCACAAATAGATTTTGATATCCGCCACAGTCTCCTCAGCAACCACACCCATGTATAGTCACTGCATGGGAAGCATTTCATCAGTTTATACTTTAGACTGGGGACGTTATGCAGCGTTCACTCTCCTGACAGATGATGATTTTTTTTTGTTATCCATTAATACGGTCATTTAAAGGACCCCTAATTTAAACCAGGAAAAATCTTAAAGACAAAATTGTTCAACATTTTTAATCATCGTAACGCCAAGGGAACTGCTCAAAATGCCATTTAAACATTCCTAAACCCTGACACTCATTAGGAAGGCGAGGATTTATGAATCTGCATGATGCTAATTGTAAACACCCCCTTGTCTCCTGCACTGTGTTGCACCTGGTTTGCGCAAGTTTGAGCGTAAAGTCTTCGCTGTGTTCTTAGTTACACTAGTTAGTTTAAACTGTCCTTTTACTACATTTGGTTAGCTGAGTTAACCCAGAAAGTCTTATGTGTGCTCTCTGTGTTGTTTCTGGTGGTTTCCCCAAACCTCACACCTGCTGAGGGGGAGGTGTAAGTATTTAGTTACTACTGAGCTCGACTTGAAACTAGTTTGTTTAGTGCAACTCGTTCTGATTTAGTAATACATAAACCTGAACTTACGGTACAACTGGCCTACGTTTGAACTCTGCACAGCTGGTGCAACTGGCCACTGGTTTCCAAACACTGCCCCTTTCCCCACTGCCCTTCACCTGGTGCTTTTACCTTTGGTGGATGGGAAACACACCTCTGTTTGAACAGACTGAGCAGATGAAAACGTTACAGGAGAAGGAAAAAGCATTCTTAATTTTCAATGTAAGTTGATGTAATAAGATTTAATTCTAACGTATTTCGGGCCAGATCAGTTGATCTGTTCATCGTGGAATCTTCGCACACTATAAATAGCAGGTGGCTTCGTCAAATTATGTAAGAAACATAAAAATAACAAAAATGGAGATACAAGTTTTGTTCCGACAGCGACAATAAGCTCCAACTGTAACATTAATAATCAGAAAATTGGCTCCCAGCAAATCCTAAACCATACCTATTGGTAAATGTTGAACAGTGCCAGGGAAAGCAAAGTAGAGATAATTACGGTAGTGATAGCTTAGCAGGCTAACGTAGCTCAGCGCACCACAGAACAGGTTCGATTCTGTCTTTGTGTCACTCCAGCACCAGCCACTCAGCCTCACTCGCTGAGATTTGAGTCTTTATCCTCCAAACTTCCAGATATCAGCCCTGTGTTATGGTGTATTAAGCTGTTTTGCTCTGCTCGCTGCCTCGCTAAGATAACGCGAGCCTCAGGTGCTAACAAGGACAGTGTAGTGGTGCCAGAGTAGCAGAAAGGCTCCACATACAAAAATATGTTTAGATTTGAATCTTTATCTGCAAAACTTGCATCACTGGAGCATCAGTGAGCGGAATTGAACCTGTGTTGTGCTGTGTGAAGCTATTTTAGCCTGCTAGCTAAGCTAATACTAGCCTCTCGTGCAGGCCTGGCGTAAAGGGGGTCATTGCTCCACTAAACCAAATACGTTTTGCTTCTGTAGCATAAAACTAAACTGTTTTTCCTGAGGACACACAATGTGCTGTACTACGGTCCCCAGCATGCACTGCAACGTAATGTGCTCCGACTCTTCTACCCCAACAGCCGTCTATGGGACAGCGGTTACACCTCAATTCTACACAAATCCACACCAGTCACATCACCAAAATGCATTTCAGCTGCAGTTCAATATAAACATAACATCAGCTCAGCAGCTCAGAAACTGAGCCCAAGTCTTAATGAACAAATCCGGCCAAAAAAGAAATTAAAATTGAAACAATAAAATGTAAATATAAACCTCTTTTTGCCATTTCTTATTCCAAACATCAGCACAAACATCCTGCCAAAATTGAAAATGAAATGAAATACCTACATTTGCAATTTCATTTTTCACATAAGCACGAGTCATCTGCTTATGTGCTTCGATTTGCCTTTTTATTCTGACACTTAAAGCGCGTCGACGCCGAAAACCGAATCACAAACGGTCACTTTGCTGTTGATTTATCCATTTTGCATTTTCATTTTCATTTTGTCAGATCTGCAGCCGATTGCTATGAAAAAGAAATAAGAACGTAAACACTGCATTTTGGTTTTGACAGGTATTCTGCATTTCATGAAGAAAAGCCAAAGTGAAGCTTGAATTTTCTTTTCTCTGTTAGCTTTTCCATTTTAGATTTGGCCATGAAACACCAGAATAACGACTAAAATCAAATGACAAATAGCTGTTTTAAATTTATTTTTATTTTTGTCACTAATGGCTATAGGTATTTCGTTTCATTTTCAATTTTGGCAGGATATTTGCGCAGATGTTTGGGAAAAGAAATGGCATAAAGAGGTTTGCATTAACATTTTATTGTTTTAATTTTAATTTCTTTTTTGGCCAGATTTGCCTCCAGTAGCCGGGTTTCTAGTTCAAGCAAATAGGTCGGTTTAAAGACCGAGCTGCTCCTGGGGGGACGTTTAAATTTTGAATATTTCAAGTGTCCATGTAATATTTCAAGGTCTACTACAAGTGTCTGTATTTCACTGTTTAGGGTTTTGCGTATTTGGAATAAACAATGGTCAGCTCTGTTATAGCACAACATTTTCTCCGGCCCACAGAATTAATGAGATTTTTTAATATGGCGCTTTTTCTGGTTGAGTGTGACACCCCTGATGTAGGGGAAGTGAAAGAGTGCAACATATGAAGCTGACGACAGAATCTAACTAGAAATATGAACACTTAAGGGTTGCGATGCGTTCACACAGACAAAGAGCTCGACTGCAGCGTGGATTACGTTCCAGAGCACAGATGTGAAATGGTGTGCTGCGGGAGCTCTGTAGCAAGCTGTTCCGGATTTTCCCGCAGCGGGATAAACCGGGATTAAGATTATGTTTTATTCATCTGTTTGGCGGCCGTGTTTTTTTGTCTGGAGAACTGTCATGGTGTGCTATTTTCAGACACAAGCTCTGCAGTGTGAAAAAGCTGCTCCTCGGGCGTCTGTGCACCACGGAAATGAGAACACTTAAGTGTGTAACAGTTTTCTAATCTAAAGCTCACAACACAGGCGCTACACTTTCTTCCTGCTGAAATGTATTTTAGTGATTGCTGGCATCACAGTGGCTTCAGTCTGAGGCCACCGAGTCTCTGTGCAACAAACGAGTCAGTTTATTTGAGCTGTTCAACCACTCGAGGAAAAGCAAACAAACCTCTCTATAGACCTTCTGTATGTCTGTTTGCTCACGAATGTCGCAGATGCCTGTCAGCGTCAACACAGAAAGGCTTTCACTCACTCATGCATGGCTCTTTGTCTTTGTACCTGCAGTACCTGATCAAAGTGAACGAGATCAAGACCAAAAAGGGCGTTGACCTCCTGCAGAACCTGATCAAGTATTACCACGCACAGTGCAAGTAAGTTATGCATACAAAAAAGGAATTGGCCAAATATATATATATATATATATATATATATATACACACACACACACTCATGCAATATTATAATTGAAGGGAAATCTTAATGCTTCAGCACCAAGACATTTTGGACAATTGTACACTTCCAACTTTGTGGGAACAGTTTGGGGAAGAACCTTTCCTGTTCCAGCATGACTGAGCCCCAGTGCACAAAGCAGCTCCATAAAGGCCTGACTGGGTGAGTTTGGTGTGGAAAAACTTGTCTGGCCCTCACAGAACCCTGACCTCAACCCCATCACACACCTTTGGGATGAACTAGAACGGTGATTGTGAGCCAGGCCCTCTCGTCCAACATCATGGTCTGACCTCACAAATGCTCTTCTGGATGAAATTCCCACAGACTCTCCCAACATCTTGTAGAAGCTTCCCAGAAGAGTGGAAGCTGTTAGAGCTGCAAAGGGGGACCGACTCCATATTAATGCCTCTAAATGTAATGTGTAGGTGTCCCAGTACCTTCGTCCATATATACACAGGCTATATTAGAATAAGCAATCTAGAAATGTTTTAGACTCATATCAGGTGCGAATCATCTGCAATATGATTGTCTTTGCAGCTGTAAGGCCTGCTGTGAGTAACCTTTTCTGAGATTTGGTAGGATGAGCGATTTGTTTTTGTGTTTTTTCTCCCGATGTGATACGATTCTGACACCGTCACGCACCTCTAGTACAGAGTGTGAGGAAGTGTTAATCAGCGCTTTAGAGGTTGAGAGCTGTTGCTCAGAGAGTTTCCTACAGCCTGGCAAAATGTCAGCATCCTCTGAACCTGAGAGAGTGATGAGCTGAGAAAGACCACCGTAAGCACTGTCTTTGGACACATCAGCAGAGTCAACGTCCTATTGATTTTAGAGCACTTACCTTGCAGTCCGGGACCTTGTTATGTCACCGTGCTCTAGAGACGAGCTCTAAAAATACAGCGCGGCAACGTTTTCCTCTTTAATGCTTCACTGAGCTTTTCCCAAGGCTTCCCAGATGCAGAGTGGTGCTGAAGCCCACTGCGGTCTTGAGTTTGTTGCAAGTCACACTGTGTGAGATGCTGCTATAAAATCAGACTGTGCAGTGTTTCCCCTCATTATAGAGGCCGGGGGCCGTGTTACGGAAACATCCTATCTTTTTTTGTCTTAACTCAAGATCTTAATTTAGGAATCTTATCTTACAGCATCTTATCTCAAGTTAAGAAATCTTAACTTACTCGATCACAGTCGACAATCGACTGTCACATCTGTTACCTAGCAACCGACCATGCATGCACAGCTGAAACGTAAACACGTGATCAAAGTAATCAAGCTAGTTAGCCAGACAGATAGCTACCCTTACTGATGTAAAAAGGTTAAACCAAACTAAAGTGTGTTAAACTGTAAGTTGTGAATACTGTGAGAGCGCCCCCTGCTGTTTATCAGAGCGTCGCCGTCTTCAGTTTCAGTCTCCATTTCCCAAACGCTTTAGCCGAGCGCGCTAACGTTACTCCTCCTCATAAACAGACACACGTTCAGCTCCGTCTCCTCATTATTCACCACCATCACTGTAATATTTCATCATCAACATTAACACACGAAGGTGATCAGAGGGGACGGTGGAGATCGAGTCTGCAGCGTCTGAGATCTTTAAAACGCAGAGTTAGAAAAGAAAATCATCTCACAGTGAAAGCAGCGTTTTACAGTAGAAATAAATGGAGCTCATTATGCTGGTAGTGAACTATGCTGCTGACTCAGCTGCCTAAAAACCATAGAAACGGACCTTAAACAGAAGTTACCCTGTTGGGGTTCATCCTAAAGTTAGGACAGGATTTAGGAGGTTTAGTCTAGTTAGGATGTTTGTGTGATGCTGTTTTCTTATCTGGAGTTCATGATGAGATTATGAAGTTAGGAACTGATATTCTGGAATAGCTACTGTCCGAAATTCAGTCCATACTGAAGTCGTCACGATGACTAAGCAGATAAGATAAAATTTCAGACTTAAGAAGGTTTGTAATATGGCCCCAGGTGCCCGGCCCATCCGAACTCGCACACCGCCTGGCTTAAACAACGACAGACATTAGGATGTTATTGGCAGGCTAACGTTTACTTTCCTTTTTTTGTCTTTTGGTGTTTGACCTTTTTTTGAACCTTCTCAGTCTAGATGAGGTGAACCAGAACAAATAATAATAATAATAATAATAATAATAACAGTTTTTATTTAAATAGCACTTTTCATGCTGGTGGCAGCTCAAAGTGCTTTACAGACAGGTGAGAAAACATAGTTACACAATAAATCATTAGTATTTATTTAGAATCAGAAGAAAATGAAACAGATTGAATTAGAAGATAAACACCACGAGACGTAGAGGTTTAAATAAATGCTGAGTTTCGTTTTTAGATGCTTCTTAAAAGTGAGCACTGAGCTTGACTGTCTAATAAAAGGTGGAATTGAGTTCCACAGTTTAGAAGCAGAATCATTCATTTAGCAGCTTTTGTCGGAGGAGCAGCATCTACCTGAACTCTCTCGTCTCTTGAGCCACACTAGGCTTTAATCACTTTGGCTTTAATCAGAATTTCTTCGACGTCTACGAAAGCCAACTGTCTGCTTCCTGTCTAATAGGTCCCGTATCCTGACATGCACTGTTGTTATGAGTTATTTGCTCGATCTGTGAGTGGTCATAATGTTTTGGCTCATAGATGTACATTTCTATGATGTGCACATGAATTCTTTTCCGTCTCAATGTATTCACATGTTCACATATGTGGTGAGTTCACTGTATAATAATAATAATGCGCAGTGTGCAGTGGTACTGCTCCGGCCCTATGCATTATAACAGGGTTATTTAAGGTCCAGTTAGAGAAAATATCCTCAAGCGAAGGTCCAGAACATCATAACGTCTAACTTGCATCATGATTCGGTGCCATATACTGTTTACTGAAGTAGCCTAGTAGGTCTATCAACATCTTACACAGTCAACAACTGAATGTCAGATCAAATAAAGTACAGTTCAGTCATATTTCAACAATATTTATGGTCAGTTTTCTCTTTTTAGAGCCGCCATGGGGAATAACTTCCCTCTGACTCACTTTCTTCTCCGACTGCTGTGTCTCGCCTCGTCCCTCCCCCATGTGTGCGTCACTCAGTCCAGCCTCAGTGCTCATCGTAATGCACAGATCTGATTGGCTGAGTAGCGTCACGTGTGATATTTACAATGCATGCGATTGGTCTGTGAGTCTCCCGGGCTGCTAAACCTGTAACGTAATGACTAGAAATGTTACGCCGTCTAAGTTTAATAATTATCCATAGTTCATCGGTTATAGGTCCAAGTCCACATAGGACAGTGTCTGGGTCTGGACTCGGACCGCGGTCCGCCTGTTACTGACCTCTGCATTATAACATCGATAGCTTTTACTAGTCTAAACATGGGGAGCACTGCTCTGTGGTAATCTTTATGTTTTTGTGGTGCAGTTTTTGCGTGTGACATAATTATAGTCGCAGAAATCTTAGTCTGTGTACCAGAGATGCCCAGATGGGTCCTAACAGCAGTGGGAGAGAAGCCATGCGGCTGCAGTATGTGCGGCTCTGACTCATCATGTTTGACTCGGGCGCTTTTGGCAGGTCGTTAGTGTCTGCAAGCTGTTAGTCATCTGCATTGGTAATTAAGGCTGCTCGTTCGCGCTGCTGCTACACCTGAAGTGAATGTTTTGAAGATGAGCCTGAGCTCGACGTAGGTAGCTGGCTGAGAAGAGTTAGTTTTGTCAATTAGAGGCAATAATTAAGTTTCCGTCTGAACATTACTCATCAGGAAACTGAGGAAAATGTTGCCGTGTGTTTGTGCGCTACTGGGAACATTTTTGCATATTATGATGAAGTCGGACTCATCTGGAAGTGATTGAGGCCGTTCGGAAAACAAAAATGTTTGTTTTCGCAGGTTGTCCGAAGGTTTGATTTGCCAAGAAGAACATCGCCCTTGATTTCATGTTTTCTGATTCATTTTCAGCTTTTTCCAAGATGGCCTGAAGACAGCCGACAAACTCAAGCAGTACATTGAGAAGCTCGCTGCTGATCTTTACAATGTATGTACGCTGCCTTTTGACCTAGAGCCTTTTCATTTTGTCTGTGCATAATTAAAGCCGATGTTAATAACTTTGGCTGAAGACTTTCTCAGTTAAATTTCCATTGTTCGGTACTGAAACAGCATCTGTGCTGAAAGAAGAATCGGGTCATTCAACAGAAACGTCCATTTTTGTGTCCCTAGCATTTATAGATATATTACACTTGAAAAACATGTTAGTGTTACAATTTATTTATATCTTAAAATGAAACGTAATTTTAACAATTTCACCTTCCTAAGACGTCAATTTAGTAATAATGGTTTTTAAATCAATTATCCAGAATTCCAAGCACCACAGAAGAGCTCGTCCTCACAGTCATGTGTAAAGGCTGAGGCCATATATTGAAGAAAAAAACACGTTTTTCTGCAATGTTAACTACAATAATCTATACACGACTGTGGAATGTACATTAAATGACATAAAGAAAACAAATGCCAAATAAATATTAGAAAATCTATAATAAAAGTCTGGTCCCCAGGAGTCACTGGTGTTACTGCGTAACAAAAAATCTCTTATTTTGAAATAAAAATCACACTGATGACATCACTTGACTTCCTTTTACCTGTTTTCTGAGGATCTATGAGGAAAAGCACATGGTGAGTCCACTGAGTCTTTCAGTTATCAGAGATTTTCTCATTCAGCTCATGATTTCATACGAAGCTTTTAGCTGAAGTCACTGGTGTGACCGACTTTATTCTGAGTTAACTGTGAAAAAATAGAATACAGATGGATTAAATTACATATTTTAGTGGATATTCCATGATTGACAACATGTGGTTTGATGCTCTGCAGCAGCCGTTTTGTAAAATACATTTTTCATTAAAAATGTCTCTGGTGTTTCCTTTATTATGTGTAACACCAATGAGGATCAGTAACAACAGTGACTCCTATGGAGAGATAGAACAGTGGACGTTTCTGCAGAATGACCCAGTTATCGTTCTTCAGTCCAGCCCAGGCATAAAGGTTTTTCTGTCTGCTTGTCTGCATGACTTTGCATTTCTTAGATAAAACAAACTCAGGATGAGGAGAAGAAGCAGCTCACAGCCCTGAGGGATCTTATCAAGTCTTCCCTGCAACTGGAGCAGAAGGAGGTAGGCAGACGGCCTGGTGTGCCCCAGGGTTCAGTCTTAGGACCAGTGCTAGTTACTGAGTGTTAGTCATATTTGTTATTTTAAGACATGTTGTGCTCTCTTTAGTGTTAAGCTAAGATGAGTAAGAGTGAGAGAGAGCACCCAGTGCTGTACCATGCTGGTAGCCAGTATGAGGTCGGCCTTGCTGGCAACCAGTGTTGTGCCCCACTGGTTGCTCAGTAGAGAGTCACTGACTGAATGACACTGAATTTAGTAATGTATGTTGTTAAATGAGGCTCGTTTGCTAAGGATTCATTCCTCTTTACCAGTAAATGAAACATTTTAGCACCAGCAGTATCGCAAAATGGCTTCCCAGTTCCATTTATTACGTGGTGCATATGTCACATCCTCTCTCTGTCTCTCTTTTTTCTTTATTTCTGCCTCTTATTGTATGTATATACATGTTCACATGCACACATTGTTCATGTGCTGTGTTTTCACACTTTCTCCTGTGTCTCTTTCACTCGCTGCCTTTTTGGACTGAAGTCTAGGAGAGTAAGTGCTTAGCATGCTCGGCATGCAGTGTGGTTGGTGGTGCGTAAATGTATATATCAGAATGTACAGAATGAATTTAATGACCCTGAAAGACTCTGTTTATCACATGCGGTTGAGGTAGACAGATAAGCTTGCACTGGCCACTCGGGCCACCAAACCAGTGAACCTTCGGGCCACAATTAAGAAATTGCGGGTAGAATAATAGAAACATTTCGCTGTTGTTGGAAGAAAACCTCGTATCTCCATTTTTGTCGTTTTTCAGTTTTTGACATGATTTGAAAAAAGCCTGTTGCCGTTTATATTATGTGTAAATTTCATGAAGAATGGACCAAAACAAACGGCCCAAAATGACTTGGAAAAAAGTCTGATTCCATTGACTCACATTAAAAGTGAAGTAGGTTTTTTCATTTTCCTGTAAAGTTACCATTTTGGAGATACGAGGTTTTCTTCGGACAACAGCGATTTGTTGTATGTATATTGTAGCAGTCAGGTGTTGCATTGAAAAAGGAAAAATTTATTAAAAACAAAAGTATTTTTGAAAGTGATTTATAAAAAGACAGTGGTACCCTTTGCCGAGCTGGTCCGCTGTAATGTCGTCCTATCTAGGTCATGTTTTTTGCTGTTCAGCTCTCGTAGTAAGAGCCTCTTGATGTGACCCCAGCTTATTTTATTTAAGACCCTTTTCACAGAGTGTTATTAGCAAACTTCAGCCAGTGGAACAACATGTATGATGCCAGGGGGACCAGCCTGGCAGGGGGACCACCACGGCCACCATACCGCCAGCTAGTCAAAATCTAACTTGTTGCAATGAGTTCCTTATCCAGTCAAAAAGGTGTGTTAAAAGATGAAAAGAATCCAGAAAAATTCTATTGGCCATTTGGGCTTCAGGCTCTGCAATTTAGAAAAGAGGAACAAAGGCGAAGAGACATGTATGCAAGTTGCATATACAGAAGAGCTGCTTATTAAAAACAGGCAAATAAGGCTTCGTTCACACAGCAGGTAAAAGTGGCCCAAATCTGATCTTTGTCTTCATATCTGACACAGATGTGTGTCTGTGTGTCAGTGTGAACAGATAAACACAGAATCTGACATTTTCAATTCCGATTTGAGACGCTTTCATATGTAGTACTGAAATCCGATACGTATCCGATATCCGGCAATGCGACTCAGTCTGAACAGCGAGATCGGAATTCATGCAACTATGTCAATCCAACTTCACGTTCGTCATAATTTCGTGCTGCTCAGACCTCATAAACATTTGGGGTGATGTTTCTGTACAAAATCATAGTAGAGATTCATCCAAACCCTCCACGTTTGAAGAGATTTCGAAAGCAATGTCCGAACGCGGCCGTAGGAGAACGAGGCTGCAGCACCAAAGAGCAGTTAAAAGTCTGGAAGCAAAGTTTAAAGAATCAGAGGACGCGAACCAAAGAAGTGGCCGCGCCCTTTTTTTGGCGAGCTGAACACATTCTGGGTGATGAGCCCAGCTGTCAGTCAGTGAGGCTTCATGATGGCTCCTGTGATGCTGGTGAAGATGAAGCTGATTGATTGGCAGTCGTGATTGTTTACCTCTGGATGAGCCGTGAAGCAGCTCTGTTCTTTTGCGGGTCAGTTTAGGAGCTGATCTGTTCAGACTGATGTCGCATTCAGATCACATTTAAGATATCGTGAACAGCCAAACAAAAAAATCGGATTTGGTGAGAAAATCAGATTTGGGCCACTTTTACCTGCTGTGGCCTAGAAGCCTTTATCATGTTGATAATCTATGGATCCAGACGTCAAGGCATCACAATTTGAAGTCAGCTGCCAGTTTGTAGTGAAATATTCTTCAGCTCTCACTGTGATATCAGCATTTCTGAACTCTATATTGTGTTTTCGCTACTCGTAAAAGCACAGACAGGTCCGGTCCAGTTTAACTTTGCATGCTTTACGTGACAACAATGAAGGTCTGGGATTTTGAGTTCTTATTCGTAGCTGAGACTAGTCATCTGTGTTATACTCTGTCGTTGCCTTATCATCTAGTGTGAGCGCCCTCACAACAAAAAGACCTGACTGGCACCAGGCAATGTCGACCTCTACTTACAGTCAAGTGACAAGTCTCTTTGGCCCAACCCCATTTCTTATTTTTACCCCTACTCCTTGTTTTCGAGGGTCACCTTGCCCCCTGGAACTGAGTTACAGGGTAGTGGTTGTAATCTTCCCTAAATTTTTACGTTCCACCTTAAACGGTTCAGCAGTTCTGATGCCTGAGGCGCCAGAATGTAACTGCTGCACCATTTAAGGTGGAATGGGAAATTTAGCTAGCTAGCTACCGAGACGTTAGCATACTATTAGCGATTTTTATGCTTGTTATGAAGAAAAGGACCATAATACACTGAAACGACATGAAACTAATATAATACAGCGGTTATGGTAATTTTTTAACAGAGAAAATTCTCACATTTGTGGGTTTCTTTGGTCTCTTGTTCAGCCATCTTGCTGGTTTTTCTTTTTTTCTCATAACTCTCTGTTTGGAGTCTCTGAAAACCCTCAGTTTGGAGGGTCATGTAGCCCTAACACTTCACCCCACCCCTCTATCTCAACAAGAATCGGGACACCCTACCCCTAGACGAAACAGAGGTGTAAGGGCTAAGCAGTACGCGTGAGGAGTGAAATGGGATTGGGCCTTTGTGTGCGTGTGAAGGTTTACTATCGGTCCTTAGTTGTCATCATGTATTTAAAAGTACGGGTGTCTCTGTGTTTGTACTTGAGCAGGACTCTCAGAGCAAGCAGGGCGGCTACAGCATGCACCAGCTCCAGGGTAACAAAGAGTTTGGCAGTGAGAAGAAAGGATATCTGATGAAGAAGAGTGATGGGTAGGCGTACTTGGCACACAAGCCATGCATACACCCACACAGGCACCAACACTGCTGTAGTACTAGCTTTTTGGCCATTTTTACATAGAAATATGTAGTTCTGTTGCTAAGTAATGCTCTGTCTTTACATTCTGCCCGTAAAGGGAGTTCACCAACACACAAACACACTCCCCAACTTTCACAATCAGTCAACATTGCTTTGACGCTTTGTGAAGCTCTTTTGAACAGCATGGTCTACAACCACAATACATGGTCTGCAGCCTTTGTCCTTTCACACATGAACAATGTTCTCAGAACATGAAAACCTCGAGCATATCGTGCTGTCAGGCTACGTCAGGGGTCGCAACCCAAATGTTAAGAACAGCCATTTTGTCCTTTCAATAAAAATCAATGCACCTTGGGAGCCACAACATTTTATGTCCGTTTTATTGAAGGAACGTTTTAAAATCTTGGCTGTAAATATGTCTCAGTATGTGCTGATATCCTAGTATAGACTACGCTTTTCTCGCATCTCTAGCAGGAAACTTTGCCTCAAAAGTAGAACGGTTTCTTGTAAAATGTCTCTCAGCGTTTTTACGAGGCTGAAGTCGCTTCTCATTCACCAGCTTCTTTTTCTAATTTTCACGTTCCACCTTAAATGCCAGAATGTAACAGCTGCACCATTTAAGGTGGAACGGGGAAATTCGAACAAGAAACTTGCGAAAGAGAAGCGACTTCAGCTTTGCGACTTTTTAGTGTTTGACAGTTTCTCGTTGCAGATTTAACGTATCAGGAAACCAGCTGGAGTGATTATAAACGCAAATAAGTCCATCTCCAAATTTTTAGTGTCCATTTTAAATCTCTCTCTTTGCCGTTTCGTTAGCTACTAGCTATGCGAGATTGTTGTCTGTGTTGCTATGGTGACCAGCAGTCTGTGCTGAACTTCAGGGTTAAAGGGTGAATTAGCAGTTCTACATTAACTCCAGAGTTTAAGACCATTTATTGTTAAACTGTGTTGAACGATCAGCAGAGCTTTACTTTACTGTAAAGGAGGATTATTTTATTTTTACCTACAAATCTGATTCTGCTGTGGAGCCTGCCCATTAAGCCTGAAGTCATAAGAAGTGTTTCAGCCAGAACTTTTTAAATGAAGCAAAATATGGGGCAGCCAATCGGAACAGAGCTGATTTACATATCAGTCAGGGACAGTGACAAAAACAGCCTGTTTAATTCTAAGGATAGAGAGAGGTTAGAAAATGGTCATGTAAAATGATTTGTGACTTATTTGTTATGTTATGCTTTGTTTTTGGTACATAAAACTACAGAAATGTTTCAAGTGGACTTCAAATGCGAGGAAAATGTAGGACCCTTTAAAACTGTTCCTGAAAATCCACTGGACTAAAACAGTTGTAGGACTTCATAGAACAGGGGTGTCTAATCTTATCCACAGAGAGCAGATGTGGCTGCAGGTTTTTATTCCATCAAAGCAGGAGGGAACATTATCAGCTGTAAATAAGTGGATTCAGGTTCTTGTTTGTTTCCTGCTTGTTTGGAATGAAAACTTGCTGCCACACCGGCCCTTTGCAGATAAGACTGGACACCCAGTCTGCCCACGTTAACATTACCACCCGTGTTCTAGTGACCTTTTTATATTAAATATATACACCGATCAGGCATAACATTATGACCACCTCCTTGTTTCTACGCTCATTGTCCATTTTATCAGCTCCACTTACTATATAGGTGCACTTTGTAGTTCTACAGTTACAGACTGTAGTCCATCTGTTTCTCTGATACTTTGTTAGCCCCCTTTTACCCTGTTCTTCAGTGGTCAGGACCCCCATGGACCCTCACAGAGCAGGTACAATTTGGGTGGTGGGTCATTCTCAGCACTGCAGTAACACTGACGTGGTGGTGGTGTGTTAGTGTGTGTTGTGCTGGTCTGAGTGGATCAGACACAGCAGTGCTGCTGGAGTTTTTAAACACTGTGTCCACTCACTGTCCACTCTATTACCTTGTCAGTCCACCTTGTAGATGTAAAGTCAGAGACGATAGCTCATCTGCTGCTGCACAGTTTGTGTTGGTCATCCTCTAGTCCTTCATCAGTGGTCACAGGACGCTGCCCACAGGACGCTGTTGGCTGGATATTTTTGGTTGGTGGACTATTCTCAGTCCAGCAGTGACACTGAGGTGTTTAAAAACTCCAGCAGCACTGCTGTGTCTGATCCACTCAGACCAGCACAACACACACTAACACACCACCACCACGTCAGTGTTACTGCAGTGCTGAGAATGACCCACCACCCAAATAGTACCTGCTCTGTGAGGGTCCATGGGGGTCCTGACCACTGAAGAACAGGGTAAAAGGGGGCTAACAAAGTATGCAGAGAAACAGATGGACTACAGTCTGTAACTGTAGAACTACAAAGTGCACCTATATAGTAAGTGGAGCTGAGAGTGTAGAAACAAGGAGGTGGTCGTAATGTTATGCCTGGTCAGTGTATTACAGTCAACTTTAAATTGAAAAAATACCTTTTTACTTTGTTACTTCATGTTGTTGGTCATATTAAGCAACATTCATCATAACATCTATAAGAAAAATCTTGTTTTCTTATAATTTTCTGTCAGAGTGAAACTTTTTCCCACCTCTAAAACATTTCCTGATTTTTGATTTCATTCTCATGCATCAGCAGGCAGGCAAAGATAAAAACCAATGATAGCATGTTTCACCTCCACCCATGACCAAATGTATCACACTCTCTTGCAGACTTCGAAAGGTGTGGCAGAGGAGGAAGTGCTCAGTGAAAGGAGGAATTCTCACTATCTCTCATGCCACAGTGAGTTACACACACACACACACACACACACACACACACACACACACTAAATGGCTGAAAGAACTTCATGATTGAAAAAAACAAGAAGAGCAATTTGGGGCCAGAAGTCTGTGGATTATTTAGTTTCTAATCTTTAATCCTAATTGTAGACAATCACTGGTAGAATGGGTCGTACTGAAGAGCTCAGTGACTTTAAACGTGACGCTGTATCTCTGCCAAAAGTCAGTTTGTGAAATTTCTGCCCTGCTAGATCTGCCCCGCCCAACTGTCAGTGCTATTATTGGGGCAGTTGTGGCCTGGAGTTTAGGGAGCCAGCCTTGTGACCAGAAGGTCGGCGGTTTGATCCCCTGAGACAACAGTACGTGACTGAAGTGCCCTTGAGCAAGGCACCTAGCCCCCAACTGCTCCCCGGGCACCGTGGATAGGGCTGCCCACCGCCCTGGGCAAGTGTGCTCACTGCCCCTTAGTGTGTGCATTCACTAGTGTGTATGTGGTGATGGGTTAAAATGCGGAGGTGTAATTTCTCCACTGTGGGACTAATAGGGGTCACTTAACTTATTGTGAACTGGAAGCACCTAGAAGCAACAACAGCACAGACACGAAGCGGTAGACCACACAAACTCACAGAGTGGGGCCGCTGAGTGCTGAAGTGTGTAGTGCAAAAAATTGCTGCATCTTTTGCTGCATCACTCACTACAGAGCTCCACACTGCAACATCAGCACAGCACTGTACATTGAAAGCTTCATGAAATGGGTTTCATGGCTGAGCAGCTGCACACAAGCATAAGATCACTGTGTGCAATGCCAAGCATCGGGTGGAGTGGTGTAGAGCGCCGCCACTGGACTCGGGATCAGTAGAACCGTGTTCTCTGGAGTGATGAATCAGCTTCTCTATCTGTCAGTCTGATGATGAATCTCGGGTTTGGTGAATGTCAGGAGAACGCCACCTACCGGAATGCAGAGCCAACAGTACAGTGTGGTGGAGGAGGGATGATGAGCTGGGCTGTTTCTCAGGGTTTGGGACCCCTCAGTTCCAGTGAAGGGTGATGTTGATGCTACAGCACGAAGACATTTTACACAGTTATCTGCTTCCAGCTTTGTCTCAGCAGTTTGGGGAAGAGCCTTCCCTGTTCCAGCCTGACTGAGCCCCTGTGCACAAAGCAGCTCCATAAAGACATGGAGTGACCAGTTTGGTGTGGAGGAACTCCAGTGGCCTCACAGAGCCCTGACCTCAACTCTACTGAACACATTTGGGATGAACTGGAATGTGAATTGTGAGCCAGGTCCCTCTCGTCCAACATCAGTGCCTGACCTCACAAATGCTCTTTTGGGCACAAATTCCCACAGACACTCTCCAGAATCTTGTGGACAGCTTCCCAGAAGAGTGGGAAGTGGGGGAGGGCAATTCCATATTAATGTATTTGGAATGGGACGTCCAATAAGCTGATATAAGTTTGATGGTCGGGTGTTTACGTGCTTTCGGCCATATAGTGCATAGTGTTTGTGATTTTTATGAGTGGAGTTTAACTCCACTTCATTTCACTCCACTTTAATTCTTTCTTAGAAATCAGCTGCTTCGCTTATTCAGTTGGCTAGAATGATTTGACCATAAACTGTTGCTTGGTTGGACAGGCTTTACAGAACATTGGTGAAAATTCTGTTTAACGTGTAGCACACATTAATAATCTTGCTATTAGTTTCAAATCTAATTAATTTTCTATGCATGTAAAAGGACATATTATTGTTAGGGTGCAGTTTGTTTTTGTTATTGAGCAAACGTTAGCTTGGTGGAAAATTGGCCGCTGTCGTTTTTTCCAACCAGCCGAATTTCAATTCACTTCAACACCATAGTCCCACTCGGAAGCCTTGCACTGAGAAACTAATCCAATAATGTGCTAATCCAAGTGTGCTACAGTTTCACTAGGTTGAATGCATTTTTAACCAACGTTCTGTAAAACCTGTCCAATCTAGCAATATTTGCTATGAAATTCTGCATTTGTGGGTGGAGCTTGGAAAAGCCAACCACCTGCCTTTTTGGTCCCATCACCAGAAGCCGCCCAGAGTAATTGTTCATGTTCTCTTCATTCTTTTTCATTAATATACATATATTTGTACATAGCAGAGACGTCTTTTTCCTTCTTACATAGGTCCCTGCTGTCTCTATATGTTGTGTATATTGAGTATATTTCAGTTTCAGTATTTTCTTTGTATTTTTATTTTTACTTTGTTTACCTTCTGTCGAGTGATTATCTGAGCCTCACCACAAGCATATTAATGCATGAAGGTCCATGTTGTGCAAATGACAAGTAAACTTGAAACTTGAAACTTCGTGTTACGTATGTTGGCTAAAAAGACAATCAGCTCTACACAAACGTCTGTTAGCATGATGAGAATCGTACGGTTTACTTTATGCAAAAGTCAGTCATACGGGTTGAATTCGCTTCCTGCTTCTGTCTCTGATAACAACCGCCGAGGGCCATAAAATTGCCTCCCCTAATTTAAAAGTGGTTTGACGTGTTGGTGCTGAAGATAAACTGAGTCAGTGATGGTTTATGAACGTGTAGAAGGTTTAAGGCCCTTTTCTGTGTGTGTGTGTGTGTGTGTGTGTGTGTGTGTGTGTGTGTGTGTCCACAGTCGAACCGGCAGCCGGTCAAACTCAACCTGCTCACCTGCCAGGTCAAGCCCAGCGCTGAAGACCGGAAGTGTTTCGACCTCATCTCCCGTACGTTGCGCCTCAAACCGCCTTCATCCACCTCCTTTAGAGAAAGAATGGTTTTCATATAATCTCATTAGAGCTGTGTGCTTTAATCAGTGCACACTGAAAAAAGGTGGTTCTTTGAGGGGTCCCTAGAAAGTGGTTCTATATAGAACCATGAATAATTTGCAGGATTAAAGGGTTTATTGCATCGCTAAAGGGTTCTTTAGGTTGATAGATCATGTGTTTTATATGGTTCTATGTAGAATGTTTTTAAAAAGGGTTCTATATAGCACCAAAAAGGGTTCTTCTATAGTTACAAACTTGACATCATGACAATAAAAGAACCCTTTTTGGTGCTATATAGAACCATTTTCATAAAGGTTCTGCATAGAATCATCTACAGCACATTCTCCATCCGTCTGAAGAACCCTTTAACAATATAAAGAACTCTTTAATCATGCAGTCATGCAAAGGGTTCTTCAGATTAATGGATAATGTGTTTTATATGGTTCTATGTAGAACCTTTTTGAAAAGCGTCCTGTATAGCACTAAAAAGGGTTCTTCTATTATTACAGGCTTGACATCGTGATAATAAAAGAACCCTTTCTGGTGCTATATAGAACCATTTTCAAAAAGGTTCTACATAGAATCATCTACAGCACATTCTCTATCAATCTGAGGAACACTTTAACGATGCAAAGAACCTTTTAATCATGGAAAGGGTTTATTGAGTGTTTATAGTTCTATGTAGAACCATTTCCTTACTAAAGAACCCTTGAAGAACCATCATTTTTACTAGTGGTAAGGTTTATCAATTATTACATTTTTGCCTGATCGCAGTTATTTAAGCTGATCACGGTTACTTTACCATTTAGCTTTCATATTCATATGTTTGGCCTCTTTAGACTTGTACTGCATACAATTAACAGAAAAGGTAATTGAATTGTTAATCACAAGTATTTATATGGTAATTAATCATCAGATAAAATTCCATCGGATCAGATACCAGAGTGTTTTGTGCAGTGTTAGCATTACTGGCCAGTTCTGCACAATATATATATTAATTTTACTGATGATTTAGTGAAAAATATATCCAAAATAGCATTCTAGTAACCTTAAAACCCCAAATGGAGGGTAGTTTCAGCCCCTTCTTGAATGTAGGTCATTCATCAGTATTTCTGGTAGTGAATGTTCTACTTACAGCACATCAACCCATCAGTGTCCAAGTAAAATGCGTAAGACCTAAACTCTCAGAAATAAAGGTACTAAACTGTCACTGGGGCAGTTCCCCTCTTGTCACTGGGGTGGTTCCCTCAAGGGTTCATCTCAGTACCTTTAGTCAGGGAACATAACTGAACCATAATCCACTGAAATGATATGTTCTAAGCTGTACTGACTCCACACACCCCGTCTCGTCTCCAGGCTTTTATTTTACTGTTCTGTTTAAAACATTCGGTTATGAAAAGGAACAAATACAAACTTTTCACCTGGAAAAACTTATTTAAGGTTCACAATCAGACCTTAAAACCACTGTTGTACCTTTGAGGGAACATTTACACTGTTTGTACCTTAATGAACGAAACATGTACCTGAACAGAACCTTTATTTCAGTGTAATCAGGCAGAGATTTTGAGTTGTTTTTGCCTTTTTTCACTTGTCTGACTTTGGTTAATGATCTTCACATCAGAAATCTTAAATATCATTGAGATTAATATTCGCAGTTTACTTTCTTCACCCTTTTAGATTTGGTGTGATGACACATCAAATGTCTGTATTACTGCTGTATGATGGTTTGACACTTAGATAGATTTGACGGTTCATGTTGTTTTCTGTTGCAGATAATCGCACATATCACTTCCAGGCTGAAGACGAACAGGAGTTTGTGATGTAAGATTCATTTTTCTCTCGTTTAACTCGGTCACAATACCAAACGTCGTATTGTTCAGGTGGTTTTTTGCCAGTATAATAAAACTGCAGTCTGATTTTTTTTTAAGAATACACAAAGAAATGCTTTGTCTCAGTTTTTCACTGCACAGTTAAGCGCCAACTTCTGCTGTAGCTTGAGTTAATTAACTTCACAGGTTACAGTGGATCGAGACCGTATCTGTCGTAAACTGTAAGAATGCATGTTTAGTGGTTAACAAGTCTGCGTCAGTGGCTTTTTTCTATTGTCTGAGCTGAAAGAGGTTTGATTTCAAGAGATACGTTGATGCTTTTCTGGGAGGAGGTGCACTTAGTCATTCGGGTCACTGAAACCACAGCGTCTCTTTCCCACACCTCTTTTCAGGTTTCTTTATGCACAAACCCCTTCCTAAACTCTCGTTTCTCGCTCCCTCCTTTTCTCTTTCTCTCTCTCCCACGCACTCACTCGTTGCCTTTTTCTTCTCGAAGCCCCCCGCTGGCTCTGAGTGGCAGTAACTCTGTGTGGTTTTGGAGCTTCATGCTGAGCTTTTGGAAGCCCCTCATGAAGAGCGTTGCGAAACGACCCTTTAACACTTTCACCCTTCTCTCTCCTTTAGACTCATCTACGGCCGCCGCTCTCGATTCTATCAGTAATGGAGTAAGCTACCGATTACTCTGACCATTAATAGAGTGGTCAGTTTTTAATATGGGGCTAATAAGACCGTTTTCTGTTAGACCCCATGTGTCAAACATGAGTCAGACCTGTGGCGCAATCCGATTCGGCCCACGGAAGTACTTGAATTTCTATTAATATTAGCTCGTTTTACCCTTAGCTGCACTACAGTCCCCAGCATGCACTGCTCCGACCTCCTTCCTCCAAAACAATCTGTGGGCCTTACACAAAAAGAAAAGATGCCTGGCATTTTATGGGGCAGTCGAGGGATGGAGGTTAGGGAACCAGCCTTGTGACAGGAAGGTCGCTGGTTGAACCCCTGAGCCGACAGTACGCGACTGAAGTGCCCTTGAGCAAGACACCTAACCCCCAACTGCTCCCTGGGCGCTGTGGATAGGGCTGCCCACCGCTCTGGGCAAGTGTGCTCACTGCCCCCTAGTGTGTGCATTCACTAGTGTGTATGTGGTGTTTCACTGCACGGATGGGTTAAAATGCAGAGGTGTAATTTCCCCATTGTGGGACTAATAAGGGTCATTTAATCTTAATCTAATTTTATTTTTATTTAAAATCATTTTTATATAGTTTAAGCATCCAGTGCCTATTTTGCTGTTGCAGGTTTGGCATGTTTTGAATAAACAAAGACACAAAACACAGCAGGCCCACAGATCTGTTCAGATTTTTTAATTTGAGTGGAAATGGCAATATAACACATTTGCATATATTTTTGGAGTTTATTTAAAGTGTTAAACTATAAATAATTAGAAATTGTGCGTTAAGCTTTTCTTTTTCGCTGTACAGGATGTTGTAACTTATTTTCACAACAAACAAAATCAACAAAACATATAATCTGACTGGGGTGTTCAGACTTTTGCGTACGCCGTGTGGTAGTTTTCCTCAGAATAAATCGTAGTCTTTAATACGTTTCTGCAAGCTGACTAAGAATCCATCATTGGAAAAGCTCCCAGACCTTTGACAGGCATGTTTGTACTTCGGAAGATGAAAAGGAGACGTTGTTGGAAACCGAAGTACGTTTGGGTAGAAGTTGTGTCTGAAGTGTGAACTGTACGTGTTTATTAATGCGTTTGTGTTTATGTTTGCAGCTGGATCTCAGTGTTAACCAACAGTAAGGAGGAGGCGTTGAACATGGCGTTCAGAGGAGAGCAGACGGCAGGAGAGGACGGCCTGGAGGATCTGACCAAAGCCATCATCGACGACGTCCTGCGCATGCCTGGCAATGAAGTGTGCTGCGACTGCGGGGCTGCAGGTGTGGCTGATGGCTGTGTGTGTGTCTTTGTCTTTGATTCTGTGTGTGTGAGCGCCAGGTTCTCCTACACATCACTCTCCTGCCACAGATATCCTTTCTTCTCACTGCCAGACCCTTTGTTATCCTGCAGCTGGTGCATGCTGTAGCCCCTGTGTTACACACACACACACACACACACACACACACACACACACACACACACACACTCATACAGTGCTGCCAATAGTATATTCTCTGTCAGTAAACTCTGAGGGCTTTGCTGCTGCTTTATAATTTATATTATTAGTTTTTCTTTTGCTTTGTAGATTTTACTTTGTAGTCTGCCGTTGCTTCAGAAATCATGGCATCACCGTCCTTCTTGAAGTTATGGCAAAAATACCACATGAAGACATACACAATATATTATATTTCTTATTTATTATTCAGAAAAGTCTTTTTTCTGAGGTTTGAGAAGAAAAATATTCACCATCAACACTGAATTCTCTGAATCGCTGAGCCCCGGTTCTCAACACTATGACCCCGATTTTAGCCCCGATTCTCAGTCTGGCTGAGTCTGAGCTGGTCGGCTCTAGTCTGCAGATTTTTGGGTCAGTCGGAGTCGGCAGTTGGAGAGAAAGTCGAGTTGTGTGTGAGGGCCTCAGACTTTTGGCCTCCCGATCGCGTTTCAGACCAGTCAGAGTTTATCAAACGTTTGATTTTTTTCAACCCGACTCTGTTTGAAATCTAGAGTGAACTGGTCAACGACTCAATCTGAACAGTCATATAACAGCCGGTGAAAACTGAGAGCGCGATTGAAGAAAATACAGCAAGTAAATTTTATTATGTTATTATTAATTATAGGGGCAGCACGGTGGCGCAGTGGGTAGCGCTGTCGCCTCACAGCAAGAAGGGCCTGGGTTCAATTCCTGGCCGGGTGACCAGGGTCCTTTCTGTGTGGAGTTTGCCTGTTCTCCCCGTGTCTGCGTGGGTTTCCTCCGGGTACTCCGGTTTCGTCCCACAGTCCAAAAACATGCAGTCAGGCTGATTGGACATGCTGAATTGCCCCTAGGTGTGACTGTGTATGTCTGTCTGCCCTGTGATGGACTGGCGACCTGTCCAGGGTGTATCCTGCCTTCCGCCCAGTGACAGCTGGGATAGGCTCCAGCACCCCACCGCGACCCAGAAGGATAAGCGGTTTAGATGATGTATGTATTATTAATTATACGCATGTTGTCAGTACTTAAAAGCAAATTCTACCAAAGCATCAAACTTCTGCATAACTTGGTGGTTAAAGGGGCGGTCGTGTTTTAGAGGGGCAGTCGTGGGCTGGAGGTTAGGGAACCTTGTGACCGGAAAGTCGCTGGTTCGATCCCCTGAGCCGACTGAGCAAGACACCTAACCCCCAACTGCTCCCCAGGCACCGTGGACAGGGCTGCCCACTGCTCCGGGCATGTGTGCTCAGGCCCCCTAGTGTGTGTGTTCACTAGTGTGTATGTGAGGTTTCACTACACAGAAGTAAATTTCCCAGTTGTGGGATTAATAAAAGGTAACTTAACTTGTAAGATGTAAGCAGTCATGCTATGGAATGGTTAATTGTATAGAAACATAGGGTGCTTTCACACCTATCTTGTTTGGTCCAGACCTTTGGACTTTCCTGTTTCAGGTTTGAACCAAGTGAGAAAGGTGCTTTGGACCACGGTCTGGACCAAAGGACCAAAATCTGGTCCAACCAAAAGAGGTGGTCTCGGTCTGAATCAAACTGAACCATGGTTTGGTACGTTTGCAGTGCGAAAAGACTTTTGGATGGTTCGGACTTTCGGACCAATTAGAGGAAGTTGAGGCGGGTTATCATCATCCATTAAACAATAGAAGAAGAAAAAGCACCAGGAGAGAAGTAAAAATGAGCTGTTGCAACACAAAAAAGTCAAAAGTCAACATTTTTCTCCGTTCAAGCGGAAAAGGCCACCCGCCAACGTCAGACACTCCTTTTCTAAACAGTCAGTGTTAAGTATAGGAAGACGCAGCCCACTTAATGATGACAGAACGTTTTTATGTCATGCGAAGTTCTTCAGTGCGCTCATTAAACTGCACTGTGAAACCCAAACCTAACTGTATTAAACGTAAACAGTGTAACAGAACATAAACCTTGGTTTGGGCCTCGAACTGTCAGGTGTGAAAACACCCTTAGTCAGATGTCTTTACAGTGGTGGTGATAGGAACCAGGGGTCGCCATGACTACAACACAAATATAGACATTTTATTTACCATCCAAAACCACCAGTGAACCTACACGAGTCTTCTGAGTTCATGTGGAATGTTGATGATGGAAAAATAGGGATAAATGTGAAAAAAATAAGTTTTCTTTGGAGACTGTTTTGCAAGAACGCCTTACATTTACAGTTACAGTTACAGTTACAGTTGCTTAATGATGTATCATCATGAATGGATTCAAAAAATGAAAGTTTAGGCCAAAACCTGCTTCATAAAACAATGTCTCAGACTTAAGACAGTGAATTCATAACCATTTGAATAACTTTCTGTGAGGGAGCTTTTAGAGGTGGACGTCTGGTTCCTGTCACCACCACTGTGAACAATTCTGACTCGGTACGTTTATCTAGAACAGAGCGTTTCACACCAAACCGCTCTGAATGACTCTGTTTACACCTTAGTCATTCAGTTATATAGAAATTTTGAAATGAGTTCATGAAAAACAGTTTATGTTTCATTACTAAGAGAGCGTAATTCATTCTGTTTGGTCTTAACGCAGCACTGTGTGTATAAAGTTGCATAAAAATAATTGCACTACTGGTGCTTTTTGTCTGTTCCTACTTATCACACCTCAGAAAAAGAAAGTATCGTGATGCATATTATGTATTGTAAAAATGTCTTTAAGTATCATGATATATCTGTCACCTCTGTTGCCGTATCGCCCACCTTTAGGGTGTTTTATGAGCACTGAGCTGCAGATAGTTGTCCAAACAGGGATGTATCTTTAGTGAACACATTGGACTCGATTTCTTGGTGACAGTATCACCTAGAAGAGTGAGGTTTATCATCACTACCCTCCCATTTATGGTTCTTCTAGCCAGTAGAACAGCTGCAGAAATGAGAGAAGAAAGGATCTGCTTGCTTAAGCTTTCCTCAGAGACTTTCTATCAAATTCAGACATCATTGCGGAACTCAATAACCGCAGGCTGACATCAGAGACTAGTAGTGACCGAACTGCGGACGACTGTAACACAAACCCATCCGTCTTCGGCGATCATCCTCTCTATTATTACATCTAGATTTGTCTTTAATCAGGGCAACACAGCCTTTCCAGCTCTAGAAATTCAGGCAGAAGATGCCAGCATGTGTGAATGTGTGTGTAGCATGTGTGAATGTGTGTGTAGCATGTGTGAGTGTGTGTGTGTGTGTGTGTGTGTGTGTGTGTGTGTGTGTGTGAGAGAGAGAGAAGACGACAGCGGTGCTCTGGTTAGCGCTGTTACGTCACTGTGTTATGTAATTGGCACATACAGGCTCTGTGGAAAGCAGCAGGAGACAAACTGGGAATCGTCTGATTGCAGTCTTCTTCACTTCAGCGCTCAGATTAGGATTCTTGCTGGGTCACTATTTGCAAGACTGCAATTTTTGAGATTATTTCCCATCATGCACCTGGTGGCAGAGAAACCCTTTTCCTTCCACTCTATAGTGGTACAGATGGGAAAATACACTGGCTGAGCATGTAAAGATCTGGGGCTCGGCCCAGTTCACGGTAGAGCTGTGTATTCTGGCAGATCATCACCCAGAATCTTTAAATTAACCTGTAAAATCTGCTGCTACTTTATTTAACACAAAGATTCACACATCAACAAAACATGCAGCGATTCAGCATCGTTGATTGGGTGTTAGGAACTAAACCATAAAAACAAACAAACAAAATTAGAAACCACTGTAACAGGAAACGTCACTGTTACACTCAGTGAGCATGAAATATTAAAACAGCCAGTTTACATTTAAAGTTAATATGATTATTATTTAATGTGGAGCGGATTTGCCTTTTTTTCCTACTTATCACACCTCAGAAAAAGAAAGTATCCTGATGCATATTATGTATTGTAAAAATGTCTTTAAGTATCATGATATATCTGTCACCTCTGTTGCCGTATCGCCCACCTTTAGGGTGTTTTATGAGCACTGAGCTGCAGATAGTTGTCCAAACAGGGATGTATCTTTAGTGAACACATTGGACTCGATTTCTTGGTGACAGTATCACCTAGAAGAGTGAGGTTTATCATCACTACCCTCCCATTTATGGTTCTTCTAGCCAGTAGAACAGCTGCAGAAATGAGAGAAGAAAGGATCTGCTTGCTTAAGCTTTCCTCAGAGACCTTCTATCAAATTCAGACATTTTTTTTTGGTACAGAAATTTCAGGCTGTCGTGCATGCATTCCCTCTCTCTCTCTCCCTCACTCTCTCTCTCCCTCTATCTCTCTCTGCGCTTGCCCGCTGACTCTCTCTCACGACCCTTGACTCGTCACTATTTGCATGAGCCAAGACGTAAACCTTATGATAATATTAAACATGGTTGATTTTGTCTCAGCGTCGAGCTGAGAAAAAGACGTCCTCATATGTATAGCAAGACAAACGTGTGTGTGTGTGTGTGTGTGTGTGTCGCTGAGCTTGACTTCGTTGATGGTATCGTGAACTCAAAAGTGTACAAAAGCATTGTGGATGCAAACCTGTAGAAATACTGCTGAAATGGTAGAAATTCATCTTTCAGCAGAACCACAGTCTAGAACACTGTACACCTTTTGAAAGGTCTTTGAATGATCTGATTAAATAAACTCCACTTGGTTTGCAAATTTCTTTCCTAAGACAATGAACCTTATATATTTTTAAGTATGGTGCAAATCAGAGACGGGGGCTAGAGCCAAAAACATTTACTTGCACAGTCTGTTTTATCTCGGCACGGCTGTTTTTGTGGACAGAAGTTAATTGTTTTCCCACTGGGGGGTTCTCACCCCTTTCATTGCACCCCTCATTGCTCACTAGCAGCTCAACGCAGTCACAGAGTCATCCGTGTCCTAGTAAAAAAGTTCATATTAATTAAAAATATCAGTTAGTAGCCATTCCACAAGGGGGCCTACAGAAAGGGGTGAAGCGGTTGGTATGCGGATCAGCACCTCCAAGTCTGAGTCCATGGTCCTAGCCCGGAAAAAGATGGCATGCCCGCTCCAGGTGAGGGGAAAGGACCTGCCCCAGGTGGAGGAGTTTATGTATCTGGGGGGTCTTGTTCACGAGTGATGGGTAGCGGGATCGTGAGATCGACCGCAGAAAGGGACAGGCGGCAACAGTAATGCGGTCACTGTACCGGACTGTAGTGGTGAAGAGGGAGCTGAGCCGTAAGGCAGAGCTCTCTGTTTACCGGTCGGTCTACATCCCAACCCTCACCTGTGGTCATGAGCTTTGAGTAATGACCGAAAGAATGAGATCATGAGTACCAGCGGCGGAAATGAGCCTCTTCGCAGGGTGGTGGGCTACACTCTACTGACCGGGTGAGGAGCTTGGTCATCCAGGAGGAGCTCGGAGTAGAGCGGCTACTCCTCCACATTGAGAGGAGTCAGTTGAGGTAGTTCGGACATCTAATCCAGATTCCCTCTGGATGCCTCCCGGTGGGGGTGTACCAGGCATGGCCTACCGGGACAAGACTCCGGGGTCGTCCTAGGACCCACTGGAGGGATTATATCTCCAAGTTGGCCTGGGAGCGGCTTGGGGTCCCCAGGGAATGAGCTGGAGGAAGTTGCGGGGGACAGGGTCATCTATCTGGGATTCTCTGCTCTCCCAACTGCTACCGCGACCCTATCTGGACTAAGCAGTTAATGATGATGATGGTAAAAAAAAGTCAGTTTTGCTTTCAGATTGGCTTTGAAGGTTTTACCATTGCACAGGGTCATCTGTTTCAGTGTGTATTTACACGGTCAGCCTAAAACACAGGCCTGTAAGAGGCCTTGTTTGGTCAGCATTAGCATTTTGCCAGCCGGCCTTCCACTAGCAGGCGTAGTGGCAGCGTTCGGTGCGGTGTAGGTGCCCTTCCGTGTCGCTGGGATGGTGTTAAAGTCTCTCTTTAGTCTAAGAAGATTACGCTCTCGCTCAGCTTAATTCCTCTGCTCTTTGACTTTGATCCATCCCTGCAGTCTTTCATGCCAGTGTACGTCAGCATGTGCACCACCCCCCCCGCCCTTCATGTATTTATGTGCTTTTTTTTATTTATTTAATTATTCATTTGCTTACTTACATAACAGAAAGTAATGCAGTGGCATGTGTTGTACGTAGACTCCCTACAGAATACAGTCTCACACGGTGAAGGAAACAAGCCTGCTATTACAATTTCCATATTCCATTTCGTTTATATGTGTCTGGAAGTGTGTATGTCACAGAAAATATAAAAAAAAATCTTGGATTATGCAAAACTAAATCAGTATCAAGACTTCTGCTAGATCATGAGTCCAGCAGTGCCCCCTAGTGGTGAAGCCCCTAAAATGCAGCCACATATGTGGAGGTTTTTGGGCCAGTTTATGTGACCGTTATGGATGATTTTAACCCTTAGAAGTCTAGAGTTATTGTCATTTTTCTATGCATTCATTTTGCATTACATCATTAATTTTTTGTATGTAATTACTGAACGACTTATGTATTTATGTTAATATTCTGTTAACATTCTGTGTTGGCAGGTTTGAGTCTGCTTGTTTTTTCAGTTTTTTCGAAGTCAACAAAATAACACAATTATGCGAAAAATGAACACGTTTTTCTTTCCACAAACCAAGACTGTGTTCACATGAAAATCTTTCTATTAAATTCAAATAATAATCTTTTCTCCATAGTATTGACTAAACGTGTAGGATGTGCTTTTGTGATGGAGCTTCTCTTGGTTCTTTCTTTAAGCTAAAAGTGAGAAATAACTAATATAGAATGACACCAGCAGTAACAGCATCTTAAAGAGTTCATGTCTCACTTTTGCTAATTTGCCTGCGTGTCTTCTTGACCCCATCAGATCCAAAGTGGCTTTCGACTAACCTGGGGATCCTGACGTGTATCGAGTGTTCGGGCATCCACAGGGAGATGGGAGTGCACATCTCTCGCATTCAATCCATGGAACTGGACAAACTGGGAACGTCCGAACTCTTGGTGAGTTTAACTCCGTAAATCAGTGGTTCTTAATCCAGATCTTGGAGCACAGCTGCCCTGCGCACTTTGGCTTGGCTTTGCGCAGAAGCTTACATAAAACCGAACTGCACTATATAAAGGACCCTGCAGGTCATTTAAAACTCGGCTGCAACAGTTGCAACTATCTCAGCTTCGCGAAATGAGTTTCATGAAACAGTCGATCAAAATGTTAATAAAGCATCACTCACTCTTGATTTCACTGGATTAACCCTTGGGTGGTGTTCAGGTCTGTGGGACTAATTTTCAGTGTTTACCAAAAGAAAAAATGACAGGATTTATTATTATATCAGCCTCAGATTCTTGGTCTTTGCTCGTTTTCTGTGAAGAACATATAAAATAACCCATTTTCAGTGTCTTCACTCTGTTCACCCCCCACACATTTATATTCCTCATGTGGTGTTGGGCTGAACCTGCGGGGAGTAAAAGTGTGGAGGTGCTGTGTCCTTTACTCTGTTCTCCTCCTACATGGCCTGCTGTTAGTGTGTGTGTGTGTGTGTGTGTGTGTGTGTGTGTGTGAGGGTGGACAACATGGACAGGCTGCTGACTGGCTACAGCTGCTAAAGGAGAACCCTACGCTGGACACTTGTGATATTTTAAAGATCTGGCATTTTTACATAAATTATTATGGCTGTATTGATTAAAAAAACAATAATGTGGTGGGTCCACCAGACCACTGAGTAACACACACATCAACACCACACAAGGGTTAACGGAAAAGAAAGTAAAACAGAAGATTGTGAAGGTTGTGCCATGCGCCCGTCTCCCGACCCCTGATGATGGCCATGAGAGCCGGCAGGAAAACGGGGCTCAAAGCCTGAGCGCAGGCAAAACCCTGCAATCACGGGGAGAGGATGAGATCGCACCACCTGTGTTCCCATGGCGAGGCCACCTCACTGTGCCTCATTTTCGATCCCGATGGCCGAGCCATGGAACGGGGGTGCGGTGACTGGGAGGTGGAGCATCGAGAAATGGTCAGTTTTGGTTGTGCTGCTGCTGCAACCCTCAACCCTGCCTCTTATTTCTGTAAACAGCCGTCTCAACAATCCAGCTAACAACAATATCAGCTGCTTAAACATTCAGTTTCAAAGGCTTAACATTCGCAGAGCAGATTATAAACTCAAATATATCGTAAACAATACACACATACTGTGACCAACCAAGCATAGGCAGAAACCTTGATAAAAACCATTAGATAGAGAAAGGAAAACAGGCAGATACCTGAAAAAATTCTACAAAGACAATTAAATTCCTACAAATATACAAATATAAATAACACATTGCAGATGACTTCATATAGCAAGAACACTACTGTATACGTCAGCAGTCTAGTGAAGTAAATGTATTGCATGCAACATTGTTTTTGAATTGCTTTAGGTAACTGTCAGGTTGCATGGAAGTAATGTTGCATGCAACTAACAACATGCAGTTTCAGCGTGTAAAACCAGAATTTCTGCTCCTTGCACACCTGGACTGGGTTGCACCAGGTTTGCGTAAGTTTATATTTAAGTTTGGTCTTTACTGAGTCCTCAGTTACAGTAGTTGGTTTCAAACTATCCTCTTACTAAATTTGGTTGCACCACAAATCTGTAAGTCTGTCTTAACAACTAATGCGTACGTCACTTTAACATGACGATAACGTTCAGAATCAGAAAACCTGCTGCCGTGGAAACGTGATTTCAGCTACCCTGACTTTTCCATGGAAAAAGTATCCAGCATAGAAGAGAACGATGTGTACAAAATAAACTGAATAAAACTGATGATCTACAGCCGCCGTCTGTTTATTCTTTAATATTTCCCTAAGAAAACCAAATATGCAGCTGGTTTCTGGCTGACCGATACAACCGCAGCCTCAGTTTAGCTGTTTGGGCTGCTGAGTCTCTGAGCTGGAGCTGTGGCTGTTTAGCTTCATGAGTTTAAACTAGAGCGATGATTAGAGCTGTGAGTAAAATCACAGTGTGTAGCGTTTAAAGTCATGTTTGGTCTTGTTTGTGTTTCTATGTGGTTCCGATGGTTTCCCCAAAAATTACACCTGCTGAGGGGGGTGTAAATATTTAGTAACTACTAAGCTCGACATGTAAAACTAGTTTGTGGTGCAGCTCACTCTGATTTAGCAATGCAGAAAGCTGAACTTAGTAAACATGTACGTTACAACTAGCCTACGTTTGAACTTACGCACAGCTGGTGCAGCCGGTCACTGATGCAATGAATGGACTAGTTAACAAGCCCCTCCTGAGGAGAGAGAACTCCATTCTGCAGGGCAGTGGTGCTCCTGGACCAGGAGGGATCATAAAACAAGGGGAAAGGAGCGCCACAGTGAATACCACGTTGCAGCCAGTTCTAAATGCTTTAGATACATCTGGGGATGTTTATGGTGTTTTTTTTCTCTTTCAGCTGGCCAAGAATGTTGGGAACAGTAATTTTAATGAGATTATGGAAGGGAATCTTCCCTATCCCTCTCCAAAGCCCACTCCGTCCAGTGATATGTGAGTACTGCAAGACTCTTTATGTGTTTTTGAAATGGCCCTGTCCAGGTTCTTGTCCGAACAGTCCCTCAGCTGTGTTTTCTGAAAGAAGAATTAGTGAAAAATAAACCGAGTTTGATGTGAATATCTGAAGTCTAAATCTGAATTTCCTCTCAGATACTTCATGACTTCATGTCTTCATCCGATGTTCTCTCGTTCTTCTCCAGGACGGTTCGTAAGGAGTTTATAAACGCCAAATACGTGGATCATAAGTTTGCGAGGAAGACGTGCATCTCGGCAGCGGTGAAGATGAGCGAGCTGTATGAGGCAGTCAGGTCACGTGACCTGCTGGCCCTCATCCAGGTGTACGCTGAGGGGGTGGAGCTTATGGAGCCGCTTCCTGATGCCGGACAGGTGAGTGTAAAATCTGACCGTGTCTGAAAGGCAAGTTCACTTACCGTATGATGGGCTAAAGATCTCTGGTGATGCCAGTTTCACGTGCTGGTTTTAAGACTGGAGCTTAAAAAATCAGTCTAGTACAGTAACAGCAGTTTTTCTTGTTCTGTAGTTGTAGACCTGTGGAGGATCTGGACTCTCAGGGATTTTTGACAGTAAAAAGATGATGGATTTTCCTTTGACTGTATATTTTCTGACTGGTTCTTGCAGGAGGCTGGAGAGACAGCATTGCACTACGCCGTGAGGACAGCTGACCACACCTCACTGCATCTGGTCGACTTTCTGGTTCAGAACAGGTAAAAAACAAAACAGTAGCTTTTGGTTGCCAGTTTTAGTTTTTATTGGTTTTCTTATTTCTACCCCTACCCCTTGTTTTTGTGTGTCTCGTTGCCCCTTGGAACTGAGTTACAGGGTAGTGGTTGAAATCTTCCCTCTGAAATGAGACCCTCAAATAAAAAGAGCATCACTTCATTAACAGCTACCAGCGCTGCTCTGTAGGCGACGCTGCCAGTCTGCAGTGACAGCAGAGGAGGGTAAAGTTCAGCTCCTCACTGCTGGGCTTTAGTTACATTTAGGGAATCATATGCCTTCAAAGAGGGGGGCAATTATTTATTATTATCGATTTTCTTAACAGATTTATACATAGAGAAAAAAAGTTTCTTCAATGTGTCTGAAAAAATATAGCTTTATGTTTGTGTACATAGGGAGTGAAACATAATGGGGCACAATGGGATGAGGTGGAATTGTGTGGGACAGAAGGTGGGACAGGAAAAGGGTCAGGGAGAAGGGTAGTGATGCTTAAAAACACACTGCAAGTCAGTTGAGCTCTTTAGAAAGGTTCTTCATCTTAAGTCATAACAGTTAAATAAAGTATGTGTGTGTGTGTATGTGTGTGTATGTATGTATATATATATATATATATATATATATTAATAACTGGTGTGACCCCTGGATGACTTCAACCACACGTTCCTGTAACTGTAACTCAGTCCTGCAGATTGACTTGGAGGAATTTTAGCCCGTGTTGGTGAGCTTTTGCGCAGAATTTTTATTGGACTAGTTTATGGACTTTGGCTTGGCCAACACATGATTCAGCCATCTGCCTGGTATGTTTAGGATCATAGTCTTCATTGTGCAACACCCACCTTCTGTTGAGCTTATGTCCATGGACAGATGCTGGATGCGGTTCTTCTGCTGGAATGCAGTGTTTGGTTTTTGCCAAACTTTCTCATTTAAGCCGTAAAGCTCTATTTTGGCCTTATCAGTCCCCCAAACATTTGCTCTGTAGTCCTCTGGCACATCCAGGTGGTCTTCAGGAGACTTCAAACCAGCAGCAGTGTTTATCCTGGAGAGTCATGGCTTCCTTTCTGCTGTCATTCCATACACAATATTTTTGTTCAGTGTTTTGATGGTGGACTTTGAACACCGATGTTAGCCAGAGCAGCAGAGGCCTGAAGGTCCTCAGATGAAGTTCTTTATGATCTCCCAGAATATTGACTCTTGCAGTGATTTTTGTTGGATGACCACTCCAGGGAAGACTAACAGTACAGTTAAAATGTCTCTATTTGTGCAGTACGTGCCTGACAGGACATTAGCCAGGAAGTCTGAACCACTGCAGAAATTGTTATGTAATCTCTACCCGTCTGATGAGCATCCATGACGGAGACGTGGCGTCTGCTCATACACACACACCGATCAGGCATAACAGTCTGACCACCTCCTTGTTTCTACACTCATTGTCCATTTTATCAGCTGTACTTACTATATAGGTGCACTTTGTAGTTCTACAGTTACAGACTGTAGTCCATCTGTTTCTCTGATACTTTGTTAGCCCCCTTTTACCCTGATCTTCAGTGGTCAGGACCCCCATGGACCCTCACAGAGCAGGTACTATTTGGGTGGTGGATCATTCTCAGCACTGCAGTAACACTGACGTGGTGGTGGTGTGTTAGTGTGTGTTGTGCTGGTCTGAGTGGATCAGACACAGCAGAGCTGCTGGAGTTTTTAAACACTGTGTCCACTCACTGTCCACTTTATTACCTTGTTGGTCCACCTTGTAGATGTAAAGTCAGAGACAGCAGCTCATGTGTGTCAGCATAGTTTGTGTAGGTCATCCTCTTGTCCTTCATCAGTGGTCACAGGACGCTGCCCACAGGACACTGTTGGCTGGACATTTTTGGTTGGTGGACTATTCTCAGTCCAGCAGTGACACTGAGGTGTTGGACACAGGGTGAAAGGAGGCTAACGAAGTATCAGAGAAACAGATGGACTACAGTCTGTAACTGTAGAACTACAATGTGCAGGGCAGGGCTGAGTCACCTACATGCATGCATGATTGTCATCCAATTGATTGAACTTCCTGACCCTAATTATCCCCAGTAACTATGAATAATTCCACAGGTTCACATACATTTTGACCAACTAAGACATTCAGTGTTCGCTTTGTACAGCACATGATTTAAAGGCTTTGTAATTGTGTTTTATTAGGTTCTGTTTATGTATTATGACTTAAATGAAGACCTGATTATATTTTAGGTCAGATTTATTTATAGAGAATTTTAAGGGGTTCACAAACTTTCTAGCACCACTGTATGGAAAATACGCTGCAAAAACATCTTGAATGAGGCACAAATACAGGGCAGCCAATAAAAGGCAAAGCTATTTACATATATCAATCTTAAAGGAGCAGTGAAATGTAAGGGATAAAGAGAGGCTGTAAAATGGTCATGTAAAAATGAATTATGACTGTTTTTGGTTCTTAAACCCACACGAGTGTAATAAGCAGACCTCGGGTAAAAATGAAAATAAAAGGAAAATGCAGGATGTGGAAATTTTAATGCGCGGTGTCCACATACGTGGGCAGCTCCATCACTTTTTAATAAAAGGAATAGTTAGAGAAATCCTTTCATATGTTTTTTAATGCTGTTCCTGGCCTGGATTATTTTGACCGAAATGATTTATGTTTGTCGGATTGCATAAATGTCTTCGCCTGCAGGAAACTCACCTGGAGCACAGATCACAGTGTTTACAGAATGCAGTAAAAAAATTGAGTCATTATATCTCAGGGGTCGCAACCCTAAGTTGTTAAGGAGAGCCATTTGGTCCTTTCAACAAAAATCAAACCACCTTGGGAGCCACAACACTTAATGTCCATTTTACCACCTTGGCTGTAAATATGTCTCAGTAGGTGCTAATATAGGATAAATAACATAAACAACAACGCAGACTTTGCTCTGCTTTAAGCTTCAGCTCAGCTATAGCTGCTTTTCTCGCATCTCCAGCAGGAAACTTTTCCACAAAAGTAGAACAGTTTCTTGTAAAACGTCTCTCAACATCCGACTTTTCACGAGGCTGAAGTCGCTTCTCATTTACCAGCTTCTTGTTCGAATTTTCCCTGTTCCACCTTAAATGGTGCCTGAGGCGCCAGAATGTAACTGGTGTACCATTTAAGGCGGAATGGGAACATCAGACTTCAGCCTCGTGACTTTTTAGTGTTTGACAGTTTCTTGTTGCAGATTAAACGTATCAGGAAACCAGCTGGAGTGATTATAAACACAAATAAGTCCATTCGTCTCCAAATTATCGATGTTCGTCTTAAATCTCTCTCTTTGTCTTTTCGTTAGACACTAGCTAGGGCGAGATTGCTGCCTGTGGAGACCAGCAGTCTCCCTGCCAATCCTCAGGGTTAAAGGGTGAATTAGCAGTTCTACATTAACAGTGTTTAAGACCATTTATTGTTAAACTGTGTAGAACGATCAGCAGAGCTTTATTTTACTGTAAAGGAGGATTATTTTATTATTACCTACAAATCTGATTCAGCTGTGGAGCCGAAACAGGGCAGTAAAAAAGCCGCATGTTGCCGACTCCTGTTATAGGGCTTACTGGCACATCGCAGCCGTTTTCTGAGAGTATATAAAGGCCAATATTGCAATAACAATTAACGAACAATGCTGTGCTGTCAGGCCCAGCAGACGTGAGTCATTTTCTTATCATTTTTGTTTTCCCTTCGCAGAATTCAGAGCCTGTGTGCATCTTGATTTAGTTACAAGCTCCAGAGTTTTCTTTTTTTTCTTTCTTTTTTTTTTAACACAAAAAATCAAGAGCAGAGCAGGAACAGTACAGCATGAGTACAGCAGACGAGGCAGGATTTTCGGGCCTGTCGGGCTGTATTTTATTCAGCTTACATAAGAGCATTAGTCATATCAGAAGCAGAGCTCATGCAGCCTATTAATGTCACTGCTTCCAGTCTGCAGGGCTGAAAGGCAGTAGATTCCAGTTCCAGTAATGTCTTTTTCAGACGCTGCAGTGATTTAAATAAAGTGCTAATACTGTGTTTGAAATGGTAAATTATGGTAATTATGAATATTTTCATGTTATTCATCCATGTGTCTGTGTGTCTGTGTGTTCTGTTGTCTTGTGTTGTGTTGCATAGTGGAAACCTGGATAAACAGACCGAGAGAGGAAACACGGCTCTGCACTACTGCTGCATCTACGAAAAACATGAATGCCTCAAGCTTCTCCTGAGAGGCAAACCTGCTACTGACATCAGTGAGTCTAACACACACACACACACACACACACACACACACACACTTGTTTTATACAATGTCATATATATATATATATATATATATATATATGTGTGTGTGTATGTATATATATGTGTATGTATATATATTTATATATCTATATATATCTATCTTTATATCTATATATATATACATTGTCCTTTACATTGTATGCAAATTTCATGAAGAATGGACCAAAAGAAACAACCCAAAATTACTTGGAAAAAAAGTCTGGTTCCATTGACTTACATTAAAAGTAAAGTATGTTTTTTCCTTCTCCTGTAAAGTTACCATTTTGGAGATACAAGGTTTTCTCCTGCCGACAGTGAGATATATATGTATGTGCATATATATATATATATATATAGTGTTTTGTATATACAACATTGTATATAGACCTATTTTAGATGCTTAACAAAACCTATTTAACAATAAAGTAAATGTAAAATATTTTTAATCTGCAAATGGGTTAAAAACAGAACTGCCCTTACAGATTTGCAAAATAAACACTAAATTGCCTAAAATATGTAGCTTTTAGCCTCATTGTGGTTCAGTTTTGTTCCACTCACCTTGACAGTCTTCAAGGATTACGGGTGTCTTTTTGCTGAACACTGTTGACGACAAAAAACAGTATGTGTGTTTGAAGTGCATATATGCACTAGAAGTGTATTAAATACCAGTATATAAAGCACTTTACAAAGTCAGAAGCAGTTTGATAGTCTAGATATTGAAGGTTAACCCTGTTTTTATCAATAGACACCAATTTTTTTCTTTCAGGACTTTTGTGTGTTTTTGTGACGGGACATAAACCCTACACAGATGAAACGCACCTTTCTGAATGGTCTGCATGAAATCGAGGAGCAAAGCATGCCCTCTTGTGGTTGTTGGCTACTCCTGATTAATGCTTTATCTTTGTTTATGCACTCTTTCTAATCCGTTACCACAGACTATGCTGAATATGAGGCTCAAGCCTTAAAGGACATTACCTGCCTGGTTGTTTCTGAACACAGGTTTTATACAGTAGCTGTGTATATATTCTCTTGTGTGTCTGTTTCTGTTTGCTTTAGCCAATCAGAATGGAGAGACAGCATTAGACATAGCCAGGAGAATGAGGATCGACCAAAGCGCTGAGGCTGTAAGTAAATAGTGTTTGTTCTTAAAGCAATAGTTCGACAAAAAATCCTAATTATGCAGTTTTCCACCATCTCCGGATGTAGTCGATCAGCCAAGACATGTTGGGTGTCCAGTTTTTGCTTCTTTACTTTAGTGCTGGACTCACATATCAATAGACTCCAATTCTTTTCATAAGCACATCCCAAAAACTCCTCAACACATTCAGACCGCCTGTCTTCTTTTAAGATGGACTCAAGTGCCAAATTTCATGACATTCTGTTAGATGAAGTATTGATTTAAAAAAATGCTTAGGAGTCTAAATACAAGTTCAGAATACAATATGAGTAAATTTGATCGCAGTGTCTGCATCGTTTTTGCTGTAAAGCACTTTTTTTTCTTAGTTTAAGCCAGAATTTAAGCTAGAACTGTCGTCAAATGTGATTAAACAACACAGCTAGCTTGGCGCTAACAACACTACAAATTCCCATAAGGATGCTAACAGAAATTAGCATTAATCTAGCAGGTAATCAGACAGTGCAATGCTGCTTATAAAACGATTTACAAGGTTTCTGCATTAAGCATTGCTATATTATGAAATACATAACTGGCAGATCTTCATGATTTTATGGCTGCGCCTGGTTCACAGCATAAACAGAGCTATGGAGTTCATAAACATGACTGGAATAGCCCACGATTTATTTTACGTTCTGTTTGATCCGTGCTCTCCCATCAGCAGCTGCGCTTTCTCCTAGACTCAGCGCTCCTGAACACGTAGGGTTTGGGCTCCTGTAAGCTGAAATAAGTTCTCCCACACTACTGTGACTGTCGCGCTCTTCAGCTCTGGATGTTGTAGCAATTTCTCCAGATTCTAGGACACCGTCCACTTCATGAGTCATGAATATTAAGTGTTGTTCGTCATGTAATGATACACATAAACATATTATCTTAAGTTCAAAATGTTTAAATGAATAGTTGTTTATTAAAAAGAAAGATGCTAATTTTAAAGGAATTGTGAATGTAATCTAAGGCCCGATCCCATTTTACCCCTCGCCCCTACCACTCAGCCCTACCCCTCTGTTTTGCGCGTTCACGTCTAGGGGTGGGGTGTCCCGATTCTTGTTGAGATAGAGGGGGAGGGTGAAGTGTTGGGGCTACATGACCCTCCAAACAGAGGTTTTTCAGAGGCTCCAAACAGAGAGTTATGAGAAAAAAAGAAAAACAGGCAAGATGGCTGAACAAGAGACCAAAGAAACCCACAGATGTGAGAATTTTCTCTGTTAAAAAATTACAATAACCACTGTATTATTTTAGTTTAATGTTGTTTCAGTGTATTATGGTCGTTTTCTTCATAACAAGCATAAAAAATGGCTAACAGCATGCTAATGTCTCGCTAGCTAGCTAGATAAATTTCCCGTTCCACCTTAAATAGTCCAGCAGTTCTGACACCTGAAGCGCCAGAATGTAACTGCTGCTCTATTTAAGGTGGAACGGGAAAATTCAAACAAGAATCTGGTGAATATCTGACTTCAGCTTCATATCACTGAAGAATTAGGGGTGGGTGATAATAAATAATTGCCCCCCTCTTTGAAGGCATATGATGCCCTAAATGTAACTTTACCCTCCTCTGCTGTCACTGCAGACTGGCAGGGTCGCCTACAGAGCAGCGCTAGTAGCTGTTAATGAAGTGATGCTCTTTTTATTTGAGGGTCCCATTTCAGAGGGAAGATTTCAAAAAGATTTCAAAGAAAGAAGAAATGAGATTGGGCCTAAGTGTCCGTATGTCTCCCTGACGTAAGTCATACTGTGTCCCAAACTATATCAACAAGTCTGCACAGCCTTAACGGAGAGCTGGATGTGCTTTGAGCAGCTTGAGTAAAGTTTTGTGCATATTTTTGCAGAAAAGATTTAGGTGACTGTTGACTTCAGGTGCTTGTTAGCAGCCTTACCCTCTTACCTACCATTCATATGAAGTAAAATTTGGACACCAAAACATGTCTTGGCTGATCCAGTGCATCTCAGATAAGTGGAAAATTGTGTAAATTTAATTTTTGCCAATAAGACAAGATGCTAATGTGGCTAAGTCAGCAGATAACATTGGTTTTTGTTACTGAGCAGAAGAAAGTTTACTATTTGCGGGGGTAATTGTTTCTGTGGTGGTGGTCTCCCAAAGCAGGCAGTGTCACTGAGAGGGATTTGAACACTAGGTGGCAGCAAGGAGTCATGAGAAAATGAGACTGTGATGTGTGAGCTTGACTTGTGTGTTTGTGTTTGTAACAGTTGATGCAAGCTGCAGAGGGCAAGTTTAACCCGAAAGTTCATGTTGAGTACGAGTGGAATCTTCGGCTGGAGGAGATGGACGAGAGCGATGACGATCTTGACGATAAGGTGAGAGGTGCATGAACAACACAGTGCAGAGAAACACACTACACACTTAAAAAGAGGGTTTTTCAAGGGCTTTTTAGTAAAGGCAGAGCTTCTATATCTATGTGTGTATATATATATATATATATATATATATATATATATATATCAAATATATGTAGATATATATATCAAAAGAAAATTTACGTTAAGAGATCCTTATTAGTCCCACAACGGGGGAATTTCACCTCCAAATTTAACCCATCCATGCAGTGAAACACCACATACACACTAGTGAACACACACACTAGGGGGCAGTTTCAAGGCAGTTTTAGAGTATTTCTATTGGTCCAGTCATCATGAATATTTCGCAGAATGTAAAGGACAGCTGCTCAAATGATACAGAAAACTAAAAATCGCAAAAAATGGAGATACTAGTTCTTTTGGACAGTGACGATATGATTTTATTCTCAATATCACTGCCGATTTCCAGTTTTTGACCTAATTTGGAGATGCCTGTTTCCCTTTACATCATGTGTACATTTTATGATGAATGGACCAGACGAAACGGCCCAAAATGACTTGGAAAAAAATCTGGTTTCATTGACTTACATTAAAAGCAAAGTATGTTTTTTTCCTTCTTCTCATTTTGGAGATACAAGGCTTTGTTCCGACAACAGCGATATACTCTATAAAATCTCAACATCACTGCCACAGCACTTTACTGTGTGCAATATCTCAATCCACCATGCATAGTATATTCACTGCGGATCACTGTCCATATGTTTACCGCCATTATGTGCAATTATGTCAAGTGCAATATTTCTCCATTTATTACTGTTTATTTATTTGCTATTTTATTCACTGTGCAGTACTCACTACAATACATACATTTCTACATTTCTAAATTTAAATTTAATACTTTGTATATTTTTCTTGTAATTTTTGTACATATACATATATCTTTATATTTTTATTGTTTATTCTATTTTATATATTGTTTGTATATTTCCTGCTGCTCTGTCTTCTGTGCTGCTGTAACACCGCAAATTTCCCCGTTGTGGGATTAATAAAGGATTATCGTATCTTATCTTATCTTATCTTATCTTAAAAGACAGAAAGCCATATACCATGGATATACTTGGCTGATACTCCAGTAAAACATTATAATAATCTACTCTGGATAATAACAAAGCATGAGCTTCTCCACACCAGTGAGTGTTAGAATAGGACAGAGTTTGTAAATATGCTTAGATGATAAAATTAATTTTTATATAAATCTGCCCAGAAATGGTACGATGAGACGGACCTGAGGGCTCCCTACTGCAAACGATAGATTAGGCGGCGGCGCTTCGTACAGCTCTGATCACTCCTACTCTTTTTGTTCCCTTTCTGTCTCACAGCCGAGCCCAGTAAAGAAAGACAGGAGGCCGCAGAGTTTCTGTCACTCGTCCAGCCTCTCCCCTCATGATAAACTCTCTCTGCCGGTTTTCTCCGGTCATCGTGATAAGCAGCGTCTCTCCTACAGCTCCTTCACCAATCAGATGTACAGCGTCTCCACTGACTGTCCATCCTCTCCTGTGAGCGACGCCCCGCCTCTGCCGCCCAGGAACGCAGGCAAAGGTAAACTCCGCCCTCCGACACACCCCAGCCAATCGCGCTCTGAACTGCCACCAAGGAACAGAGCTGAGCCAGTCAAGTCTTCCCATTTCTGCTCCAAGCATTTCTTTAACCGCTCACACTCTTTCATATTAGACGTACAGTTAAATAAGCTCGAAGTTATTTTTGTCGCTAAGCTGATTTGTCGTTATGAGAAAGCGCTGCGTTAAAGAGAGCCGAGTTTAAGAACCTGAGATTGTAATCTCAAATTTAATCCTCCATAATGAGATGCTGTACAGCTATGCAGTTATACAACAGCCTGTCATATGACTAAATAAGAGTCAGCTTTAACTTTAGTGAGGCTTTGACTCACTATGATACGTCTGTTCTGTTTAAAGTCATCCTGTTCTGCCCGAGAGGAATTCTGCACTCGGATCACGATCTTAGGTGAAAAACTGGGGCAATTAAATACTTGGATCCAAGTCAGGGCTGCCCATAGTTGGCCATTGATGACCTTTGATTCAGCCTGTTTATATTTTCAAATTATTATTATTACATTTTTAGGTATTTTAGTAACAATATATGGTATAATGTTAGAAAATACATTTTTAAAACCTGATTTGAATCCTACTTTCTTCATTTTGCCCTTTTGGCCCTCGGCCCACCACAGACTTTGGCTCCCCAGGGCAAAAAGTTTTTACACCCATGTTTATGGTCTAAAATAATAACAACACAACGAAAAACAACACTGTAGGACACTGTAGGCGTATGTTATCCCATACAAATATGTTCTTAATCTGGGTTTGTAAAACTATCAAGCTTTCAATCTTTTTTGAAAAATCAATAAATCAGTACAAAATTATCAATAAATATCATCATCATTTTTGAAAACACGAGTATATCTCAGTTGCATGTGTAGTATCTCAGAGGGGCGACAACACCTTTTACATTAGCCACGTTTACTTGCAGCGTGATAATCCAATAATAATCCGACTAATAGCTCAATCAGAATAGAATACGTCCATGTAAACACCTCAGTCGGAATAGGCTAGTCCGATTAAAGCCATTCGGAATACAGTTTCTATCCAACTGATCGAGGTGGGTAATCCTGTAAATAATCCGTTAAATAGAAGAATAATATCCGTGTAAACGCCTGTATCTGATTACATTCCCTATCGGAAAGTCTAAGTCCGTTCTGATCATGTTCGTCACGTCATAGTGAAAGTTTATACCGTTCAACATGGCGGAGCAGAAGCTGGTCTGCAGAGGAGACGAAGTTCTGATCTTTAAAAGACGGCGGTGGGACGGACGTCCAGCTTATGTGTCTCAGAACACGACGTCTTCCTCTCGGCCTTCTTTAATAAGGACATGTGAAGGACGTTTTCCTGAGTCTGACATCATTTTAAAGTGATTAAAAACACAAGCGCTGCTCACTGCTGCTCGTCTCACTCTGACTGGACTCACACGATGCTGGTTGTCATGGTAACGTCTACACTAAGTGGTCTTCTACGCGTGTATGTCATTTTGGATCTGATTACCTGTAGTGAACATGTAAACGGAGGTTTTCCAGTAGAGTGAGCATAAACATCTCAGTCTTAATCTATAATCGGAATGTATTCAATCAGATTGACAACAATCTTTGCATGTAAACACAGACACTGAGTCTGAGTTTGGAAAAGAAGAAAAAAAAGAAAAAAGGCACATTAAGTTTTGAAAAAATTATACATTTACACTAATGCCTTTCATTTCAGAGGTCATGACTGCTTCTGCAGTTTGTGCCTTTTAATAAGTAAGAAAAATGCTGACTTTGTCGTTATAAGTACTCGTCGCCATGACTGAACATTAAACTAAAATTCAGAACGAAACACATTGATTCTAATGCCGTTTTTCTCTCTGTCAGCACGCCACTCACTGATTTTCCCCCGATCACTTTATCAATAATTATGGCTAAATCAGTAAGTGGTCCCAGCTTTAGTTCCTAATATTCTCTGGAATGCTGTTCCAGAGTTTAGGAGCTATGTAGGAAAATGATGTTCCTCCAGACTGAGCTGTGAGGAATCTTACGAGTTTACAGTAAGCCTGCTTCAGCTGAGCGAAGCGGTCTAGACGGACTATAATGGCCAGCAAGATCTTTTAATGTCATAAGTCAGACCTTGTGGTCAATGCAGAAGTCAGTTTAGACTGAATAGGAGTGGAGTAATATGCTCTGACTTTCCTTTCCTGGTAAACAAACAGGCTGCTGCATTCTGAACTGTTTGAGCCTGTTTAGAGGGACAGCAGGGCAGTCAATAACATGTTACAACACAATGTAAAGGTAACTTGGCAAGTTCACAAAAACTGACATCATTTTGCCCTTAAGCTTAATCAGGTCATTCCTTTTATCCGATTGTGACTATGTAGCCTCCCTTACACTGGGGGCAGTATGGAGGTGTATCACCCCTTTACCACAATCACAAAAGAAAATGGAAAAATCTAGTAAGTATTCATTAAAGACAAAACACTCACAGCTTAACTTAATATTTACAGCATGTACAGTGCTGTGCAAACGTTTTTGGTGCCTGAATCTGGGCAGTAAGCATTTATTTGTTTGGAAAAACCAGTAAGATTAGGACAAATAATATGAATAATAATAATAATAATAATAATACAATCAGTAGTGATTTTGTTTTTCATAACTTCTCCTTGTTGCACCACAGTATTATTTATAATTATAGTTATCTCCTACCTGGTTTGGCTAATTTTGAAAGAAATCAAAAAGATCTCCAAAAAACAATATTGAAAAAATACAAAACACTACCATTACCATTCCATTTCCAAAAAGGTTGGGACGCTGTGCAAAATGTAAATAAAAACAAAATGCAATCATGTGCAGATCATTTAAACCCTGTATTTAATTGGAAATAGTACAAAGACAGCAAATCAAATGTTGAAATTGAGAAATTTGATTGTTTTTTGAAAAATATTTGATGCCAACAACACGTTCCAAAAAAGTTGAGACGGTGGCAACAAAAGGCTGGTAAAGTTGTGTAATGCTAAAAAAAAACACCTGGTGGTTAAATGGTAACAGGTGAGTAACATGATTGTGTATAAAAGAGCATCTCAGAGAGGCGGAGACTTTCAGAAGTAAAGATGAGGAGGGGTTCACCACTCTGTGAAAGACTGCACCATCAAATAGTGCAACAATTCAAGAATAACGTTTCTCAACATAAAAAGCAAAGAACTTTTGTTTTTCTTCATCTACGGTACAGAATATCATTAAAAGATTCAGAGAATCTGGAGAAATCTCTGTATGTAAGGGACAAGGCTGAAAACCAGTATTTACTGGCCGTGATCTTTGGGCCCTCAGGCAGCACTGCATTAAAAACAGACATGATTCTGTAGTGGAAATCACTGCATGGGCTCAGAAACACTCTGAAAACCACTGTCTGTGAAAACAGTTCATCACTGCATCCACAAATGCAAGTTAAAACTCTAAAACGCAAAGAAGAAACCAAATATAAACAGGATCCAGAAATGCTGCCACCTTCTCTGGGCCTGAGCTCATTTAAAATGGACTGCGAAGTGGAAAAGTGTCCTGTGGTCTGACGAATCAACATTTGAAATTCTTTTTGGAAATCATGGACACTTTGTCCTCCGGGCTAAAGACCACTCAGCTTGTTTTCAGTGCACAGTTCAAAAGCCAGGATTCGTGATGGTATAGGGGGCATTAGTGCACATGGCATGCGTGACGTGCACATCTGTGAAGGCACCATTAATGCTGAACGATATGTACATGTTTTGCTGCCATTCAGACAACGCCTTGATTATTTCAGCAAGACGATGTCAAACCACATTCTGCATGTATTACAACAGCATTGCTCTGTATTAAAAGAGTCCGGGTGCTAAACTGACCTGCCTGCAATCCAAATCTGTTACCACTGAGAACATTTGGCACATTATGAAATGAAAAATACGATAAAGGAGACCCTGAACTGATGAGCAGCTGAAATCCTGTATCAAACAAGAATGAGAAAACATTTCACTTTCTAAACTACAGCAGTGTCTCCTCAGTTCTGAAACGCTTACAGTGTTGTTAAAAGAAGAGGTGATGAAACACAGTGGTAAACAGGCCCCCGTCCCAACTTTTTTGGAACATGTTGCTGCCATCAAATTCAAAATGGGCATATATTTTTCAAAAAACAATAACATTTCTCAGTTTCAGTAATTGATATGTTGTCTTTGTAGTATTTTCAAGCAATATCTTCAAGCAAAATTCTTCAATATCATTATAATTTGTTTTTGTTTTCATTCTGCACAGCGTCCCAACCTTTTTGGAAATGGGGTATTTTTGAATTGAGTTTTTTTTTTGTTGTTGTTGTTTAAAAATTAAACTCATATCTAAATCTTTCAACTTCTTTTTAAAAGAAATGAAAAAGATCTTTAAAAACGTAAAGAATACAAAAATAAATTATTTTCACAAGTGTGAATTAAGGATAAATGATGAACATATATTTTTTTTGTGGGTCCGCAGTTTTAACTAATTCAGTAGAGCAGTTCGTAGATGAACGTAACCTCTGATCTGTTGCAGAAATCACTGTCATTGCAGATCATCATCATATAGATGTTCTCAAAGAACACGAAAATTCTGTCTATAGTGTTTTGGATACTTCGCCACCACGCCTACTGCACAAAACCAAGTTTTTCACAGTTGCGAAAGAAGTGGACGTTTTCCAAGCGCCTCTCCCACACACACACACACACACACACACACACACACACACACACACCTCTCACACACACACACACACATACACACACACTCTCACACACACACACACACACACACACACTCACACACACACACCACACACACACACACACACACACTCACACACACACACACACACACACACACACACACTCTCACACACACACACACTCTCTCCCACACACACACACACACACACACACACACACACACACACACACACTCTCCCACACACACACACACACACACACACACACACACTCTCCCACACACACTCACACACACACACACACACACACACACTCTCACACTCACACACAAACACACACACACTCTCTCTCACACACACACACACACACACACTCACTCTCTCACACACACACACACACACACACACACACACCTTGCTCAGGAATGGTGTTTGTCGTCAGGACTCTGAAGGGTGAGACAGAGGTGTTCTTTTCAAGGAAAAGAGTAGCTTCAGGCAAGACAAAGGAGAGAGAGAGAGAGAGCGAGAGAGAGAGAGAGAGAGAAGCGGGCTGGAAGTGGGAGGTGATGAGAGGCAGTGAGTGGAGGAAGGAAGGAAGAGAAAATGGAGAAATTCAGTCAGCGTAACTACTGCTTACTACACACAACCACAGTGCTTTTCAGTCTGAGTGAGGTGAAAGCAGGCAGCAGATCATTAATGCGCCATCAGTGTGGAGAGCAGCGGGAGCACAGCTGTGCCACGGCCTTATTAAAGGAGCACCACAGTACACGATCAAATGAGAACCGTATACAGTCGTTTGCACAGGTTTAAATAGATTTTCTAAGCAAAAATAAATGAACACATTCTCTACAGAGAACAAAGTTACAGATGTAAAAAAATGTGTCATTACTTTTCTAGAATCAACACACAGTTTAACTTTTAAACAGGTGATGTCATCCTACGCACAAAAATTATGGTTCTTCAAGGGTTCTTTAGTAAAGAAAATGGTCCTATATAAACCCATGAACACTCAAAGCACCCTTTGCATGATTAAAGCAAGACAGGGAAGGAAAGTTTATTTGTATAGCACCTTTCATACACTGTTGTCATTCAAAGTGCTTTACAAATGAGAAAACAGAGTGTCAGAAAATACAGAGTTGTTTAAAAAAAGGGAAAGTAATGAGAATAGAAATCAAAAACATGATTAAAACAATAGATTTAAAAGAGAAAATCATGAAATTAAAAATCAAATTAGAACGTAAATTAGGATAATTAAAAAATTGTATTAAAAATTGAAAGTTAGATTATATTAAAGTGTTCTTTGCATTGTGAAAGGGTTCTTCAAACTGATGGGAGAATGTGTTAAATATGGTTCTATATAGCATCAAAAAGGGTTCTTCTATTATTACAAGTTTGACATCATAACAACAACAGAACCCTTTTTGGTACTATATAAAAACCTTTTAAAAAGATTCTATATAGAACCATGTACAGCACATTCTCCATCAATCTGAAGAACGCTTTCATGATGCAAAGAACCCTTTAATCATACAAAGAGTTCTTTGAGTGTTCATGGTTTATTTTCTTTACTAAGGAACCCTTGAAGAACCGTAATTTTTACGTGTGTACATTAATATCACGTTTGGTGTCCCTAATATGTGATCAGGTTTCAGACATCACCCAACATGGATTCTGGTCTCAGGAAAACACGAGTAAAATCACGTCTCGGCTCTCGTTTATCAGGTGAAACAAGTCGTTTTAAACTCAATCTGGTGAAGTACCTTCGGAGAAAAAGACCAGCCACAAACTCTCAGACGAGAAAGTTTGTGTGATTTTTGCAATTCCACTCTGTCTTACTAGATTAATTATATTCACAATTAATTTAGTTGCCAAATTACAGATGATAATAATACACTCCAACCATAACCTTTACTTAACTGCGATTTTATGTTCTTTATTTTACAAAGATTAAACTTCAACTTGCAAGCCATCACTGCGTTTGCTCCCACGTCTGCTCCAGAGTTAGGAACTAGAGGAAATCCGCAGGACCCTTGCGGCGTGTGAATAGTTTTCAGTGCTGTATGTGGGAGCGGGCGGGAAACCAGCCCACTGCAGGCGGGAGCGGGACGGAGCACACATGAAGAGATAGCAAGCAAATTAATGAACAGCCTAAATAATGTAGAACGATCACTCGATCACATATACAAACAATACAAAAGGATAACAGTAAAACAGTTTAAATAAAGTCATTCTAAACAGCTGCAAAGCAACAGTTCGACCTGATTCACACATACTGCTTTCATTTCGGCGCCCATCTTAAGTGGTCAGCACGTTCTCACATGATGTATCGCAGATTGTCCCAGGGCACCAATTTTTTCCATGCACCACGCCCTTCACAGAGCATGATACACTGAAATAAGCCAGGAAAAACAATGTAAATGAAACAGAAAACCATATAAATGCTATTTTTTTTATTTAATTTAATTCATGCTGAAATACTAGTAAAACATGCTGTGCTGCAGACTGACCCGGTCGGTCTACCAGACTTAAAACTTTTGCCTAATCATAAGTCAGAATGCTGCCGAGGATAAACAAATATACCGCGCCTTCAGTCCGACGGCCACAGCTGCAGATCCCAGCAAAACACCAAAAATAACTGCTCTGTGGTTTAATTCCTGCTTTGTGTTTACTGGGAATAAATGACGTTTGGTGAAGTTCACAGTGAGCCGGATGATCGTGACTGCCGTGTTATTTCAGCAGAGAATGATGTCTTCGTGAATAGTACTGTGTCAGATATCGGATGTCAGTTCGCCTTAATGGGAGGCGGGAGCGGGACTAATGAATTAGATTTTCTGCAGAAGTGGGCGGGATGAAATCTTGCGGGAGTAGGACTGAAAAAACGTCTCTTTTGGGAATTAATCGATTACCACAGTCATGGACAAAAATTCAAACCCATTGGTTTTTTAATGACTCACGCCGGCGCTCGCAACTCTGAACACTGAGCAGTTACTCAGCACATCACTCAGCATTTTGCCATCACTATATTCAGTTAAAGCCATATCGAGACCTCAGAACCCACAGTAGATCATGTGGCTTGAAATTTACTCAAATTAAGGCATTCAGTCTTTTAGATAAACAGATAAATATTAACAGTCTATCACCTCAGCTGATGTTACAGCCTGGCCTTTTTATCTCCTCATATCTTTCAGCTCAAAAACAAGTTTTGAAGAGGCAGTAAAATGATGCCAAACATGAAAAATTATGTTGAAAGTTTTATTTCTTGAGTGGGGTGAAAAATTAGGTTGAACTTGATGTTTTTAACTCTCTCACTGCAACGTGTTCTACATAAAGGGGCAGTCGTGGGCTGGAGGTTAGGGACCCAGCATTGTGACCGGAAGGTCGCCGGTTCGATTCCCTGAGCTGCCAGGACAAAACTAAAGTGCCCTTGAACAAGACACCTAACCCCCAACTGCTTCCCAGGCACCGTGGATAGGGCTGCCCACCACTCCGGGCAAGTGTGCTCACTAATGGTGTTTCACTGCACGGATGGGTTAAATGCGGAGGCGAATTTCCCTGTTGTTGGACTAATAAAGGGTAACTTAACTTGAAATAAAGCGGCACTTTACTGTATCTGCTATCTGATGTTATGTGATGCGGCGTGGTGCGTCTGGTCTTCGGTGGTCTTTACTCAAATCGGGGGTTACTGCCACAGGCTGGTTGCAATCTGTGTAGTATACAAATTGAGGTCTGTAGAATAAAAACATTTTGAATGCATAAAATATCAAACACCAAAACAAATACTGTCCTCGTCGTTTTGAACCTGAATATATGTGTATAGTTAATCCATATCCTTTAGTTTTGCACCGGAGCTGTAAGTCTAATCTAGCTAACAAGTAATGGAAGCCTCTACCTTCTAATAAACTTTGTCCGAACTACGTTTGTACATCACATTCTCGCCTCAGACCGTGACGAGTTGTCAAGTAATCTCACATAGACTTGCTTCTGTGGTTTCTAACACTGAGCAACATACTGTTATCTATAAAATGGACAAAATGTATGTAGGATTTAGTTTCTCATTATCGTCAAAACCAGCAGAGTGAACAGCGTTTCAACTGAAAGTGACTCATTTAACCAAGCACAGCTTTTCTCTTCCTTACCATAGACTGCAGTGATTTCTAGCTTCTCATCTGGTATCTTATTTTAATTTTATTGGTTGCTATTATCAATTTTAGTATTGCTTGATATTGTTATTGATTTGTTCTTATTATTTATCATTCCTGACTTCTTGATTTCATGTTGCGTTGCCTCCTCTATGTAAATTCCCATTTCTCTCTTTTTCTTTCTCTCTCTTTCTCTTTCTTTCCTGCAGCCCCTCCTCTGGCATTCCTTGGTTCTCATTCGCACTATGCTACTCTGGCTAGCACTCGACCATACATCAGTGACTATCTGCCTTTTTATTTGCCTGTTCTCCTCCTCCTCCTCCTCCTCCTCCTCCTCTTTTGTAATCCAGTTATGACCTAATTCTGATCATTCGGTGACATTATTGGAGCTTAACCCACTAACACTGCATCATGATTAGCGGCATAGCTGGAGCGCAACCTGTAGCAGTCGTGCCGATTGTCATTGTTTGCTACTTGACTGGATGCTAATAACCACCTGAAACCACATGCCTTGCTTGGTGTCCATTGCAATTGAACTGCTTTATGCATTAAACTGAAATGAACAGTGATGTTTCACCACAGCCAGCTTTGCCTGAACCTTCACACATCTTTTCCCACTGACCTCAGACTGAGCTTTTCATTGGCTACTGTAGAGCAAGAATGGTCTCACAGTTGGCTGAACCAGGGTTTCTCAACCACCGGGCCGTGGACCACAAGTGGGCTGCGAAGCACCCTCTGGTGGTCCTTGGGCCTATAGTGAGATGGGGAAACAGGTCATGCAACAATGGTGCTTCGTCTATATTTAGCCCTTGTGTCCAAGTTTCAGTCGTCCACTTGCATCCACAATTCAGTCAGCTGCAGTTTTGCTTAATTTGCCACCATTATGTCTGATTTTGGGTATCAAACAAGCTTGTTTGCCTAATCTGTTGATATTTGATGCTCAGTGATACACATGGCATGTCGTGGCTCCGAAAAATTGTTGAATATCCCAAAAAATTCCCCAAAAAAAACTTTTTTTTAAGCGAAAAAGTTTTTTGTTGTTTTTTTCTGTGGGCCTTAATGCCTCCTAGTGATAAATAGGTGGACCTTGAGGTGGAAAAGGTTGAGAACCCCTGGGCTAATCCTACCACAGAGTGGCTGACGTTCCTTAAAAAAGCCACTCTGCGCTGTTCTGTCTTCGTCCTCTGGTGTTCACACAGTCGTTTTGACGTTGTTTACCATTAACGTTGTTAATGATGTGTTGTGGTGACGTTTCTCCACTGGTAGTGCATTGCCTTGTCTGAATTTCTCAGCTATGCTGTTGCCCTCCTGCCTCAGTTTTCCCCGACTCCAACACTCCTCACTCATTCTACCTTCCAACACTAAACCGAAAGCTTTCCCCTTCGGCGGCTTCTGTCCCTTTCCCTCTGAAAGCATAACCCTCACTCCACTAGCTTGGGATTCAGCGCAGCTTCAGCTTTATTCATTAAAGTTTCCCTCCTCTAATCCTCACTCCTAGACCCTGTTCAGTACTTAAAGGGCAATTCCACCGATTTTTCAAAAAATCGACATAATTAAATGGTTGAGATGTGTTGATGTGAAACACTCTGTTCTAGAGAAGCTTACCAAGTCAGAACTGTTCACAGTGGTGGTGATAGGAACCAGACGTCCACCTCTAAAAGCTCCCTCACAGAAAGTTACTACATGAAATGGTTATGAATTCACTGCCTGATGACTGAGACACTGATTTATGATAGTTTTGTATTGATGTTTTGTCTTTGTAAATGCATTTATTTTAATACATGTAGTGAGGCAAAATAGTCCAGAAATAAAACTTATTTTTCCAGATTTGTGACTATTTTCCATCATCAACATTACATATAGACTCAGAAGACTCGTGTAGGTTCACTTGTGGTTTTGGATAGTAAATAAAATGGCTATATTTGTGTTGTAGTCATGGCGACCCCTGGTTCCTATCACCACCACTGTAAAGACATCTGAACCATTTTACACCAAACCACTCTGAATCACTCTGTTCACATCTCAAGGACTGAATTATGTAAAATTATGTAAATTATGTAAACAGAGCCGTTCAGAGTGGTTTGGTGTGAAACGCTCTGTTCTAGAGAAACTTACCGAGTCAGAATTGTTCACAGTGGTGGTGATAGGAACCAGACGTCCACCTCTAAAAGCTCCCGCACAGAAAGTTACTACATGAAATGGTTATGAATTCACTGCCTGATGACCGAGACACTGTTTTATGATAGTTTTGTGATATCTTTTTGGGCTTAATCCATACATGGTTAAAGGGTACATGCAGGGTGTTGGGGGGCAAAATAGTCCCTAACATTAAATTCTTATTATTTTTATATTTATGACTATTTTACCATCATCAACATTCCATATAAAACTCAGAAGACGTGTGTGGGTTCACTGGTGGTTTTGGATGGTAAAATTAAATGGCTACATTTGTGTTACACACATCGTGACTCCTGGTTCCCATCACCACCACTATAAAGAAATCAGAGTCTGTAAGTTTCTCTACAATGAGCCACTTCACACCAAACCACTCTGGATGACTTTGTTCACATCTCAACCACTGAATTACTCACATATTTTGAAAAATGGGTGAACTTGCCCTTTAAACGCTGCAGAATGTTACATTCAGAAGGTGTATTAATAGAGACAGTGTGATCTAGAGAATATCTGCCATGGATGGGTGTGGTTATTTGAAACAAAAACTCATAGCATTTGTTTATTTAAGGAAATATTGGAATAAGGCACCTGGAATTTGGGATTTGAAGACTAAAATAGTTTTCATATCAATTCGATTTTTGACTGAGCATTTAATGTAGAACTGCAGACAGTGGTAGGGCACAAGTAACTGATTATGTGTCTAACATTAAATGAAAAAAGCCAACATGTAAGCACAGCTGTATGACATATATGAATATTTCAAGTGAAACATTTGCACTGTTCTGTGATTCAGAATGTCATCTATTTTTTCAAAATGTCTGCATTATCAAAAGGTTAAGATGTAAACAAAGTAATTCAGAGTGGTTTGATATGTGATGCTTCAGAATTGTTCACACTGGTGGTGATAGGAACCAAACGTCTGAAGAGTTTTTGCCTTTACATGTCAAGTCAAAGTTTATTTCTATAGCGCTTTTACAACAGGTGTTGCCACAAAGCAGCTTTACAGAAAAATCTGGGTCCGAGCCCCCATGAGTGTCGCCAATGGCAACAGTGGCAAGCAAAAACTCCCTAAGAGCAAGAGGAAGAAACACTGAGAGGAACCAAGACTCAAAGGGGAACCCATCCTCCTCTGGTCGACACTGGGTAGCAAACAGCATTAGTATAAAAACAGCATCAGTATAAAATATTAGAATACAAAACGGGGAAAAACTGGTGGAGCGATGGTTAATTAGATAGTTTTAGTTTATGCAGCAAAAGCTACACAACAGAAGGTTATTACATGAAATAGTGCCAAATACGCTGCCCGGTGCCCAAGACTTTGTTTCGCGATAGTTTTGTAATAAGGTTTTGGCCTAAAACATATTATAGAATCACATCTATAGCAACAAGGTACGTACAGGGTGCTGTAAGGCAAAATAGTGCCAAAAAAAAAATACGTTTTTCAGATTTTAAGACTATTTTACCTCTACATAGCTTATAAGACATGTAAGTTCATTTGTGTGTTCATTTTGGATGGTAAATAAAATGGCTATATTTGTGTTGTAGATATTGTGACCTCTGGTTCCTATCACCACCACTTGTCTTTCTACAGTTCCCCTTTAAACCATACTTTCCCCTTTTAACTTCACTTTAAGCTGTAATGTAACAAACAAGGGGTTAAACTTCCTGCAGTTTCATTTTTATTCATAACACTGTCAAAAATGTTCACAGTAGGATATTCAAATATTACGTTTGCAGATTTTCAGCTAGCAAAGACTGTAAAGAGCCCATCAATAGTATCTGCACTATAGACTTTAGCTCAGTGTAACATTCTGCTGAGCCCAAATTCCTCCGTTTTCCAATTATGATCTGCTTTCTTCCATCTCCTTCCCTCTCCTCTCCTCCCTCGTTTTCCTTTTTTCCGTTAATTGAACCAGTGTTAGTTGTCTCCCTGCCCCGTCCCATGGCCTCATTGCATGACGTTGTTGTTTTTGTTTTCTTGTTTGTGTTTATGTTTGCCTTCCCTCTAGCCCCTCCCTCGTCATCCTCCCCTCTCTCCCCTGGCTCCCAGAACCCCAGTAACAGCAACTCCACCCTGTCCAAGAAGAGGCCCCCGCCCCCTCCCCCCGGACACAAACGCACGCTGTCTGACCCCCCCACCCCGCTCTCCCATACCCCTCACTGTAAAGGTGCGCCACCAGGTCTGATCAGAAGGTCCTCATTCCTCCTGCCTGGCAAAAGGTGTCAGCTGAGCGAATTTGAGCTGATTTCCCAAACCAGGGTTTAGCCTAAGCCTAAGCCTAGACTAGACACTGGCATTCAAATTTAGTCCAAGTCCGAGCTTAAAGGGCTCTTCAGATTGAGAATATGCTGTAGAACCTTTTTGTAAAGGGTTCTACACAGCGCCATAAAGGGTTCTTCTATTGTTACGATGTCAAAGCATTTTCGAAACAGTTCTATATACAGTCTGAAGAACACTTTCATGATGCGCAGAACACTTTGATCATGCAAAGGATCCTTCAAGTGTTCATGGTTCTATATAGAATCATTTTCTTTTTTAAAGAACCCTTGAAGAACTGTCATTTTTGAGTGTGCAGTTTTCAGTTTATCCCAAAATCTGACCGATTGGCTAAGATGTGTGCTGGTTGAACAGTAAACACTCCTTAAAAAGATGGTGCTTCAAGGGTTCTTTAGTAAAGAAAATGGATCTATATAGAACCATGGACACTCGAAGAACCCTTTGCACGATTAACGGGTTCTTTGCATAATAAAATGGTTCTTCAGATTGATAGAGAATGTGCAGTAGATGGTTCTATGTGGCACCAAAAATAGTTCTTCTATTGGTACAGTGTCAAGCCTTTTCAGAAAGGTTCTATATAAAACCATATAAAACAGTATCCGTAGAACCCTTTCATGATGCAAAGAACGCTTTAATCATGCAAAGGTTTTTGGAGAACCATCATACACTCTTTAAAAAAAAGATGGTGCTTCAAGGGTTCTTTAGTGAAGCAAATGGCTCTATATAGAACCATGGACACTCGAAGAACCCTTTGCATGATTAACGGGTTCTTTGCATCATAAAAGGGTTCTTCAGATTGATGGAGAATGTGCTGTAGAAAAGGGTTTTGAAAAGGCACCAAAAATGGTCATCTATCTTACGGTGTCAAGCTTGTAACAATAGAAGAACCCTTTTTGGTGCTATATAGGACCCTTTTCATAAAGGTTCTATATAGAACTGTCAGTAGCACTTACATGCACATTTTAGTCAATCCAGAAACACTTTCATGATGCAAAAAACCCTTTAATCATACAAAGGGTTGTTTGAGTGTTCATGGTTCTATATAAAACCATTTTCTTCGCTAAAGAACCCTTGAAGAACCATCTTTTTAATAGTTTAGCTTTTGAGATCAGCTTTTAGTGTTACTCAGGGTTTCTCATTAGCTGTGGACCTTACAGACCTAAGCTTGTCTTGTATAAACCAAGTATGAGGAATGGGACCCAGGTCAGTTTGATCTTGTTCATATCCTTGTTCATAAACAGGTGTCAGTTCCTGATGTTGGTTTGATGTTGTCTGTGTGATGTGTTGTGTTTTGAGGTTGAATGTGAGCTCAGATTTATTTGAATGGTCCATATTTTGCTGTCGTTTTGTGTAGTTTATTCTAAACAGGCTAATATGGCAACAACACGTCAGGCCATGTGCCAGTTACTCAGTAGTTTATCTGTAAAAGAGCAATAAGGAGCCTTTCTGTGACACGAACAGTACCAAACATGAACCACTCTGCTTGGCCTTTGGGATGAATTCTGATTTTGTTATTCGAGCATCTGTAAGAGTTTTAGACTGGATGTTAACTAACAATTAACTACACAGAAAGAAATAAAACAAACAATATAATAAAACAAAGACAAATTAACACAATGCTGTTGGCTTATTATATTATAGCATGGTTTAAGGAGGATAAAAGCCCAAAAATACATTCGAAATCATATTTTTTTATTCAAAAATTGCCAAATTGTTAAGTTTTCGTGTCGGACGAGCAACGGAGGTTACCTCTTCAGAAGAGCTAACAAGCTAATCCTACAGCAAACTGGTTCAGTGGTACAAACGATGCTGATGCTGATCTGGAATTGTCTTCTACACAAAGTACAGTACCAGTCAAAAGTTTGAACACATCTAATCATTCAACGTTTTTTCTTTATTTTTATCGTTTTCTACAATTGTAAATTAGTATCGAAGACATCAAAACTACAAAGGAACACGGATGGAATTATGTAGTAAGCAAAAAAGTGTTAAAATGTTTTATACTTTAGATTCTTTAGAGTGGCCACTTTTGTGCTTTGATAACAGCTTTGCACACTCGTAGCGTTCTCTCAGTCAGCTTCATGAGCTCACCTGGAACGGTTTTAATTGACAGGTGTGCCTTGCCAAGAGTTAACTTATGGAATTGCTTGTAATCTTAATGTGTTTGAGACCATCAATTGTGTTGTGGGGGGGGGTTAGTAAACAGTTCTCTAGTTCTGTATTGAACTGTGTTCCTTCGTAGTTCTAATGTCTTCAATATTAATCTACAATGTAGAAAATAACAAAAATACAGAAAAAACATTGAATGAGAAGGTGAAGAAAATGGCTCTATATAGCCAAAACCTTGGACTGGTCCTGTATATTGTCCTCGGTGGATGATGTGCCGACCTGCCATCAGAGAAATATCTGTTCATTGACCGAGTATTTTAGTTCTTGTACAGTTCCCTAGTTTGACAAATCAAATTTAACCACATTCTTAAAAATGATGATCCTTCAATGGTTCTTTAGTAAAGAAAATGGTTCTAAATAGAACCATGAACACTCAAAGATCCTTTTGCATGATTAAAGGGTCCTTCAGATTGATGGAGAACATGCTGTAGATGGTTCTTTGTAGCACCAAAAAGAGTTCTTCTATTGATATGATGTAGCCTGTAACAATAGAAGAATGCTTTTTGGTGCTATATAGATAGGTTCTAATATAGAACCACATAAAAAAACATTCTCCATCAATCTGAAGAACGCTTTCACAATGCAAAGAATCCTTTAATCCAGCAAAGAGTTCTTTGAGTGTCTATACAGAACCATTTTCTTTACTAAAGAACCCTTAAAGAACCATCTTTTTTTAAGTGTGTAGTTTTCCACTTTGCCCAAATCTGACCGATTGGCTAAAACATTTCTGGAAGTAAGTTTGTTTGTAGATTTGCGCTGGTTCTAAGAGGCTGTTCTAGCTAACAAGTAATGGAGACTAATGGGATACAGGTTTGCATTACTTGTTGGCTACATTAACTTCACACTAAGTAGTCTGGACTGACTATTTGGGTTTAAGGAAAAATTACATATTTTCTTTAAACATACTGTTCCTGCCCTGCGATGGACTGGCGACCTGTCCAGGGTGTATCCTGCCTTCCGCCCAATGACAGCTGGGATAGGCTCCAGCACCCCACCGCAACCCAGAAGGATAAGCGGTTTAGATGATGTATGTATGTATACTGTTCCATACAGTAGCATCATTTACTACAGAAAGGCTTACTTATTGCTCCGTATGAAGGACAAACAACTGAGTAAGTTCAAGGCAAAGCCAACCGGGATGAAAGCACAGCAGTGTAAATGGAAGGCTCAGACTAACAGCCCCTGTCTTTACCCATTGACCTCTGTTTGACATCAACTCCAGTGCTTTGCATGATGCTGAGGAGTCTGGGTAGCTACAAAGGCTGGGCATGGCCAGTTATGGTTCTGGAGTCTGACATACACATCTTGTTTTTCACAAACAGTAAGCCTCAGTTGAGTCACTTGAGACTTGAACGTGTGAGAGAATACAGTCGTATGCAAAAGTTTGGGAGCCCTGGTCCAGTGACGTGATTTGTTGATTTTTTTTCAAGTGGAAAAAGACAAAAAATTAAATAAAATAAGATAAAAACACTACGTCTGCACCTTCCAATACACAATTACTGCTTATTTGCTGAATTTAACAAAAAATACAACATAAGATGTGGCCTGTGAAAGAATTAAGGCACATTATTTTATGTTTTATTTTTTCCAGTATGTTAAACTCAAGTAAATAGAAGTTGTGCTGGAAAGTGCTACATTTAGCGCTCCCTGTAGAGGGTGTGTTAACTTACGCCAATCAGGCATATCATTATGACCACCTCCTTGTTTCTACGCTCATTGTCCATTTTATCAGCTCCACTTACTATATAGGTGCACTTTGTAGTTCTACAGTTACAGACTGTAGTCCATCTGTTTCTCTGATACTTTGTTAGCCCCCTTTTACCCTGTTCTTCAGTGGTCAGGACCCCCATGGACCCTCACAGAGCAGGTACTGTTTGGGTGGTGGATCATTCTCAGCACTGCAGTAACACTGATGTGGTGGTGGTGTGTTAGTGTGTGTTGTGCTGGTCTGAGTGGAACAGACACAGCAGTGCTGCTGGAGTTTTTAAACACCTCAGTGTCACTGCTGGACTGAGAATCGTCCACCAACCAAAAATATCCAGCCAACAGCGTCCTGTGGGCAGTGTCCTGTGACCACTGATGAAGGACCAGAGGATGACCAACACAAACTGTGCAGCAGCAGATGAGCTATCGTCTCTGACTTTACATCTACAAGGTGGACTGACAAGGTAGGAGTGTCTAATAGAGTGGACAGTGAGTGCCTGACAGTGGACAGGCACTCGTACCAGCGCAACACACACTAACACACCACCACCACGTCAGTGTTACTGCAGTGCTGAGAATGATCCACCACCCAAACAGTACCTGCTCTGTGAGGGTCCATGGGGGTCCTGAGCACTGAAGAACAGGGTAAAAGGGGGCTAACAAAGTATCAGAGAAACAGATGGACTACAGTCTGTAACTGTAGAACTACAAAGTGCACCTATATAGTAAGTGGAGCTGATAAAATGGACAATGAGCGCAGAAACAAGGAGGTGGTCATAATGTTATGTCTGATCTGTGTACATTCACTTCAACAAACATGTCATCTGACCGGGGCTGTTCAAACTTTTGCGTACGACTGTATATTGTTAAATTGGGAAAATGGGATTGTGCCTCCACGACCATCGTTGTGCACTGCCCAGGTTCTGCAGTTACTGCAGCTCTGTATCATTAAAACTGTGCTCTGTTGCATATTTTATTGAGTGCTATGAGTGCTTGAGAGTGCAGTTTGGTAGGAAGCACCTTCATATCACTGTATTGATTATGTACTTTTCACTGACATACTTTCAGGAAGTGACTCCACCCCCCCTCCCATTAACAAGATGTCTCCAATAGCAAACCGGTTCGAAGGCATACTACAACAGCAAAGGTAAATAGATATGTATAATATATGTAAATTATCTGCTGCAACCTAAGTCAAATAATTGACGTCAGTAAAGTAAGTCTACAGTGAAACCACTCTTTCACCTGAAATAAAGGACTGTAACTCAGGTCCTCTAGACTGAGCGTCAGGTTCATGCTACACCTCTCTCTGATGGAGTTTATTTATCTGGGGAATGTGATGGACTCAGCCTGTGAAGCCACAGTAACAGCTGACCTGTTAAGCTGTGCGGTGCAGCTGGACTGTGAGCACAGTAGTTTTGCATTTAAACTCAGGTCAAAGTTCTGTTTGTTCTTTGTTTTTGAGGTTTAACCCGTCTAAGCTACTTTCTCTGATAGGTCATTGTTTGCACATGCAAAGCAAGAGCCACCGTGTGGATGCAGTCATGGAAAGTAGACCCGTCTGTAAGCTCACAGAAACCACTCCTTCATTTATTTAATTCCTAAAACAAGCATCAAGTACAAGTTATTCACTTTTCAGGAGATCGAAGATAGAAGATGATCCACTCGCATAAGAAAAGGAAAGGTCAAAGAAAATAAGTGAGGTTCAAAAGATAATTAAAAGATGAAGAGGAAATGTGACTCCTAACAACCACCTGGAAGACCAGGTAGACCACCAAAACTGCCCCCATCAGATAAACAGCACTTAAAGCTTTCATCTTTGAGAGAGAGGAGAAAATCAAGCTGCTTCAGATCTGAAAACATCCACAGGTGTTTCTGTCCATCCTTCCACTGTGAGAAGACGACTCAGCGCTGTGGGTCTGAAAGGATGTGTAGCTGATCAAGAAGAACCTCACTGAGAAAAGGAAACGGACACATCAAACAAAGAAGCTGAACGATGGACTGACCACCGCAGAGTCCAGACCCCAACACCACTGAATGAGTTTGATTAGTTCAGAAAATGATCAACCAGCTTCTAAGACTGAACTTTGGAGGTGTGTCTGCAGATTCTTTGAGGAACTGAAAGTGAGTCTCCTGAAAAGAACGGAAGCTGGAATGAAGGGAAAGAGAGACTCACTGAATATTGAAAAATTGATTTGTGATATTATATTAAGTTGTTGATGTCTCTGTGTAATTGATCAATGTATTATCCTTGTCGGAAATCAAGGAACATCAAGGAAAAGCAGGAGGAAAATAAAGGAAAATGGCTCCAGTCACCCTTTTAATTATGGTGGAATAATTGACATGATTTACTGTATTTATCACATATAATGTACCTCAGATCTGCCATAGTTGTCCAGTTTTACATGGCAGTGTTTGTACACATCTGCCTAATTTGCCAAAGAACACAAATGTTCAGTTTCTCCTCACCTGCCTAAGTGCAACAGTGCTTTAGATGTTGTAGCTCACATTTCATATGTCTTATCTTGCTGTGTTTGTTGTTAAAGCTGCTGGATTGGCAGCTCATTAGACTGATTCCTTTGTACCCGGTCTGGTATGCATGGTAATGAGGACTAGCTGGGCTATAAATTGGTCTTTTGGTACAATGTATTATAGTCAACTAAAGGCTGCTGTGGCAGTCGCCCGACCCACGGGCACCGCCGACGGCCACGAGAGAGGGGAGGAAGGCCGTGCCCGAGCCTCGCACGATAAGAGCCACGAGTGACAGCGGGAGGAGGACGTCAGCCGCGAGAGAACGAATGAGAATGAAGGCGGCGCGCGAGTCCTGAACTCACCCACCTCTTGTTCCACAGCAAGGTCGCTAGATGCAGCCCCTGAAATGTGTCCCATTTCAATGTGAAGGACGGCTGCATTTGAAGGCTGACTGCGTCACAGCGATGCGACTAGACTATCCCATTTTGATGGCTCCTTTATATGCAACCGAGAAATGTGTCCTTCTTTTCCATGGCAACGAAGGATCCAATAGGTACATCCTTCGCCAGCCAACATATCCCGAGAATGTGGTGGCGTCAGCAGAGAAGCGACTGACAGCTGAAGAGACACTTTTAAATATAAATTAAATATATATAAATATAAGTATTGGGTTTAAACTGAAGCGAATAGCTAATGATACAATTGATAAAAAAAAAACAATCTCATCAGTAGCCGCCGGTTAAACATCTCCAGCTCTATTAAATGAAACAATAAACAACTAAAATCAAAGTTTCTGGTTCCGTCTTTAAAGAACTTTAAAAGAACTTGACAGGAGCGGCGTTTCGAGGCGCAACAGTAGTGGTGGGAACAGCGGTGCTGTGACATACTGGCGTAGGGCAGACCGTCTCATTTCGGTTCAGCCTTCGAAGGACACGCCTTCATAGACCGCGGTCTTCAAAGGATCCAGCCCCTGAATTGGGACACACTGTATGCCTCACATTCGATCCTGGTGGCCAAGCTGTGGAGAGGGTGCGGTGACGGGGGGGGCAGAGCAACAAGCTCTTTTTCCTCTCTTTTTCTGCTGATTCGCCATCCTGAGCTCCAGAGCTGAGAGGGAAAGACAGCTCGTTGCTCCACCTCCCCGTCACCGCTCCACAGCTCGGCCACCAGGATCAAATATGAGGCACAGTAAGGTGGCCCTGCTGTGGGACTGGAGGCAGTGCCCATGAGGTAGGGCTTGGGACTCATGCCACGCCCCCCGTCCCATCATGGATCTCATCCTCTCCCTGTTGTCATTGCGGGGTTTTGTCTGCGCTTGGTGTCCGGCTCTCGCAGCTGTCACCTGGGGGTGCGGGCGCATTGCACAGCTGTTTTTCGCAATGCTGTAGTTCAGCCTGATCAAACAAGCAGAGTTCTGTTGTTTTGACAAAGAGGCTAAAGTAACACCCCTTTTTTTCTGATTTGAATATTCAGCAGTATGTTGAATTCCTAATCACTAACCCCTTATTGTTGTTGTCTGTAGCTTATTTTGTAAAAGTGTCTTAGTTGAATCCCTTTGCATTCATTGAATAATCTTTTGTGACTGTTCTGCTCCTCAGCACTACGTCCAATACCACTAAATCTATGCTTGGTCCAAGGGTCCTTCCCAAACTACCTCAGAAGGGTAATTTACTTGCTCACTAACATACATACATAGTGTGTGTTTGTATATGTAGGATGCCTCTGTACAATACATTCACATATATAGTAAAATATAGTACACCATATTTATTATTACTGAAAATGTCAACGAAGACAAAAACCAATGCCACCTCTTTGTGTCCTCAGTTGCTCTGCGTAAGATTGACACCATCCACCACCCGTCTGTGGACAAATCCAGCCAGCCTCCAGAGCCCCCAGTGCTGTTCCAGAAATCTACGCAGGGATCCGACACTCCACAGAAAGTTCCTTTACCCGAGAAACCTCAGCCAGGGGACCTACCCCCAAAACCCCAGCCCTCAGAATTGCCCCCTAAACCTGGAGAACTGCCCCCCAAACCACAGCTCTCTGACCTGCCCCCCAAACCCCAGCTTGGCGATTTGCCCCCCAAACCGCAGCTGAAAGACCTTCCACCTAAACCTCAGCTGGCTGACCTCTCTGCCCCTAAACTTGTAGTCCCTGAACCTGTTCACAAGCCCCCTCCTGGAGAGGTGGCCCCCAAACCCGAATCCCCGGACACGCCGACGTCCAATCAGCAAGCAGAACTGTCACCTCAGCCCACCCAGCCCACTGAAGACACCAATGGGAGTCCACCGTGCGCCCCGGAAACACCGGTACCGCTGCCCAGGAAGATCAGCACAGTGAGTTCTCTTTTAAAGCGCAGAGTACAAATAGCCACTCGCTCTCCCAGGAGGTCTAGAGTAGGAGACATCACTCTGTAATGTCTTCCAGGTTTCTCAAACACTAGAGGGCGCTACCGAGCGAGTCCAAAATGACTAGTTAAGATGGAGCATTTGAGCCAAATCATAGTTTCTAAATGCTTAAACATTTCTAATGTAAAAGAACACATTCATTTCCTGAACACAGAGCAGCATAAAACATTTTAACACTGCTGTTATATTTTTAAGAGCTTCTAAACTCGAGTTATAGGAGTTTAAACGGAGCCTCATGTACATTCATGATGTCAGTGAGCGCGAACAGCCAATGAGCTGCTCCGCTCGCCAACCAAACAGCATTCAGTAGCAGTAATGTTAGCGCTCTGCTGCCCAAAACCTGTTTACTGTAGAAAAACAGGAAACATACAGGTGAGTTTTCTTTGCTTTTTTTAGTGAAACTCATCGTTCTACTTTCTAAAATCAAAGGAAAGTTCTGGTTCAGTGATTAGAAACTATTTTAACTTTTCGTTTTTAGCCGTTTAGCTCCTTTCACCCCCAGTCATCGAGGACTCGCGCGATTTTTCAGTCCTGTTTTTGATATAACAGGGGAAATAGGAAGTGGCCAGGGCTCCTCATAAACCAGCTTTGTTTAAAGCTAGCTGTGTTAGTCGTGAGGGTTTGGAGACCTCTCTGGTGGAAATGTGTAATTGCACGCAACGTGTGGAAGAACATTTTCTAACTTGGGTTGTCCCCGATTGGATGAATCCAATGATTGCGAGCGTTTTGAAAGAACACTCATAGGCTGCATATACACTGAAGTTTGGCCCAAGTCTGATCTTTTTGTGACACAGATTTGTTTTTTGTGTGAGAGTGTGGACGATAAAAAACACAGTAAAACTGAGACTTACGATTTGGGACTTTTTTCCCTTTTTTTATGTGATAGTAAAATCCGATACATATCTGATATCTGGCAGTGTGACCTCTGCTTGACCGGTCAGAATTCATGCGACTTTTACGCCAATCCAACTAAATTTTTATCGTAATTTTGCCAGTGGTAACAAACTCTTTGCAGCAGTGTCATCAAAATGGCAAGATAAACAAATAAATGTGGCGCTTTCCAGCGAAAGAAATCAAACAACAGATATTCAAAAACGACTTTACTTCAAGGATAATTTGGGGATAAAAAGAGAGGAGCTTCACACAGATCAGGTGCTCGTATCCAGTATAGGATATGACATACGACGACAGTTAAACGACAGAAACTGAGCTTCCTCTGTTTAATCAGCTTCAATATTTAAAACTCACCATTTGTCCTCCAAGTTTAAAACAGCAGTTCACTCAGCTCATTTTGACGTCACGTTAAAGTTTATGAACTTGGTGAAGGAGCATCTTCTGAGGATGTGAGTGACTTATCTACTATTGTCATCACATCTTCATCAGTGTGATGCCTAAACATCAAGCTGGACTTCTTTTTGAGTCTGTGTGTGACATTAATACGTAAAGACGTACGACGTGGTGCGAAAAAATCCTGATCTGGCGCCTCTGACTTCATGATTATGTCTTCTCACTTGGTAATGACACTTCTTTCGAGAAGGGTCTGGGTCTGCACCGCCAGCCTATCGATGATGTCAGCGCTGCTCTGCCACGACAGATTTTTTGTCGGTTTTATGAGGAAAACAGCAAAACCACGAACTGCTGGGCAACAAGAGCTACACTGAATGTACACTAACGTTGCTATACTGATAATAAGATCATTAAATATGGAAACTTTCAAAATAAAACCTACCACGACGATCAGGCACGAACGTTGGGTTTATTCGCAGAAAAAACAAAAAGGCTGCTGAAACTCATGAAAGCCAGGCTGAAGACGATCAGAACCGCTTATCAAAAACTGTAATATTGATTAAAATAGAACTTATTAAGGATTCTAGGTTATCATAACTTTCTGAGGAATTACATTTCAACATTGTGACAATGTAGAAAAGCACCAGGCAGACGACACTGTGGGCACCGAAACAGTACGTTGTCACAGCGTAACTGATGGTTTTGCTGAATTGGCTTGATGATTGCCATTAAAGGGCCATTAGGAAATGATCAAATGTATGTGGAATCGGTCCCAGAAGACCTAATTAAACGATCAGAATCCTTTACACTGTGATATCAACCCATCAGGAAAACACAGAAAACCACCAGGAGCCAACAGACACTTTTAATGGGATCTATGAATTTTCTCAACAGGGAGGAACATTAAATGTAACTTTCTAGCCGAGTTATGAACGAAAAATGGATTAAGTGATGATGTCGCTAAGCAGAAGCAGCCAAAACTTACCGTGCCGTTGAGCTGCTTCTGCCGCTGTGGCAGAGAGTGCATGTGCTTGTGACGTCACTGGGGCTGAGGGTGTATCTGTCTGAGAGCATGTCTGCAGCCAGACTCTATTGGTCCTTTCAGTTTTAGCAATAAAATCTTACATAGTGCAGCTTTAAATAGCAAAAATGGTTAAATGGCCATCACTGATCCAGATTTGTTTTCCTGTGTCCAGGGAAAGAGTAAAATGCGACGGGTAAAGACCATCTACGACTGCCAGGCGGATAATGACGATGAGCTCACGTTCGTTGAGGGTGAGGTCATCGTGGTCACAGGGGAGGAGGACCAGGAGTGGTGGGTGAGTAGAACTACAGCATCTCTTCATAGCCCTGTGGTTTTCCCAGAGGGCCACAATCACTTTACACTCTTAAAAAAGACGGTTCTTCAAGGGTTCTTTAGTTAGTTCTGAGTTCTCTGAAGACTAAACCCTTAAAGAACCGTATTTTTAAGTGCGTACCTGAATGCGGCTCCTGGAGGGCTTGAAAATGTTCTGATGAGCTAAAGTGGGTGTATTGCAGCTAAAAAAACACTAAAATGTGCATGTTGTCATCAGGACAGGGTAAAAATAGCACTAGCACAGTGGTGGCCAAACCTGGTTCTGGGTATTTTGGTGTTTTAACACACCTGATCCTGATCCAATTAACCAGCTAATTAGCACTTCCTGAGCGAAAATGTCCAGGGCAGGGGGCCTCCAGGACCAGGTCTGGGATTTGCTGCTTGGCGTACCTCCTTTCTTTTCTGGGAATGATTCAGGAATTTGGGACATTTCTAGGCTGAGTCTGTGTGTGAATGAAAAATCGAACTTGGCCATTTTCATGGACATTGATTAAGACTAGTCTAGGTACTAAACTTCAGTTTCAATGGTCAATTCCAGAAATAAACCCATCTAGTCTAGACTTAGGCTTAATCTGGTTCTGAGAAACCTACAGTGGCTCGAGACAACAAGACAGGAACCAACCTGCGTTCTTCTAACCATGTTCTTAAAGAATTTTCTAAGAAGTAAAGAAGAAATTTCTTTTTTTTTTCTACTTTTTTAGTTTTTTAATGGTATAATGTGCTTTATGGTAAAAAAAAAACAGACTTTAATGTCAAGATAAATAGTTTTACATTATTTATGCTTATAGTCATACAGTATATACAGTCGTATGCAAAAGTTAGAACACCCCCGGTCAAATTCTAGGTGAAAATAAGTCACATCCTTTACAGAGAGCACACTGAAATACGGCATCTGCTAATTTTAGTGCACAATTTCTATTTATTTGCTGAGTTTAACATATAAAAATAATAAACCTAAATATAAAATGTGCCATAACTTGCACAGGCAACATTTTATTTTATTACTTATTTTCCTCCAGTATATTAAATTCAGGAAATAAACGAAAGAAAAAGTGCGTTAAAATGTGCAGAAGTGTTCTATGGAGAATGTGTTCTCTTATTTTCACTTAGAACATCAGAACGTAATTTGACCGAGGGTGTTCAAACTTTTTGCATGCGCCTGTATGAATGTTGAGGTCTCATGGATTTATGAGTGTCAGCAAAAATCTATGAATCGCACTGATGAAGCATGAAAATGAAACATGAAAATAAGAGCAAATTCATAGAAACCAACACAAAACTAAAATTGTGGGTAGCTCCTCCCCAACACTACAGCATTAACACTATTTAAGACTTAATTTGAGTTTGACAGTTGAGGACTGACCATCTTATTTGACCATTCAGAGTTGACAGCTGACGGTCATATCAGGCAGTAAACATACTGGAGTCTGTTTATTGGTTGACCATATAAATTAGATCAACTGAGATTGGCTATAAAATCGGTATCAGACAAAAACAACTGCTTACTGCAGATTCTGGGGTCGTATTACAGAAAATTCTTGTCTTTTTGTCTTAAATTAAGATCTGACAGGTCCAAGATTTTTCACACATTCGTATTACAGAAGCAAATCTGATCTTAATTTAAGAATCTTAAGTTAGGAAATCTTAATTTACTCGATTGAAGTCGACAATCAACTGTCGTGTCTGTTACCTAGCAACCGACCATACGAGCACAGCTGAAACGTAAACACGTAATCAAGTTAGTCAAACAGCTAACGTTAGCTACCGTTACTGAGGTAAAGAAAGTCAAATAAAACTAAAGTGTGATAAACTGTAAGTAGTGAATACCGCGAGAGCGCCCCCTCCTGTTTATCAGAGCGTCGCCGTCTTCAGTTTCAGTCTCCATTTCCCAAACGCTTTAGCCGAGCGCGCTGACGTTACTCCTCCTCATAAACAGACACACGTTCAGCTCCGTCTCCTCATTATTCACCACCATCACTGTAATATTTCATCATCAACATTAACACACGAAGGTGATCAGAGGGGCGGTGGAGATCGAGTCTGCAGCGTCTGAGATCTTTAAAACGCAGAGTTAGAAAAGAAAATCATCTCACAGTGAAAGCAGCGTTTTACAGTAGAAATAAATGGAGCTCATTATGCTGGTTATAGTGAACTGAGCTGCCAATCACTGCATAAACCAATAGAAACAGACAGTTAAACAGAAGTTAAGCTGCTCTGGAGTTTATCTTAAAGTTAAGAAAATATGTAGGATATTTCGGCAACTTAGGATGTTTCAGTGAAACCGTTTCCTTATCTGGAAACAAGATAAGATGATAGGCTTAAGAACTGTTGTTCTGTAATGGCTTCAGTCCTAAGTTCAGTCTTGAAGTTGCCATGACAACAAAGCAGATCTCAGACTTAAGAATTTTCCGTAATGCGGCCTCAGATCTCTATGTGAAAAACAGAACACTTGACCGCAGAATAAACAACGCAGGAATGAATGAATGGTCACTGATGACAGGCGAGAAGGCCTCATCGTTAATAATTAATATAGGAAAGTTCCACGTTCTGCTTGTGAAAGGGGCTCATGACATCACCAACCTCATTATACATTCAAAAACATTAACACATTCGTTCCCATGTTTAAGTCAAGGGTGACGTTTGAAGACTAAGCACTGCCATTTGCTTTGAAACCAGGCTTCCTGTGTGGTTTCTGAGACTTATCTCCCTCTAAGCTGAAGTCTCCTTCAACATGTACCAACAGAGGTTTTTTTTCATTCACTCACACATTTTATTCTGCGTTTCATCACCAGGGTTTTTGTGTAATCTCTGTCTGCTGCTGCTGGATCATAGAGTCAGTTACCAAAGACAGACAAGAGCAGCTGTTGACTCGGAACTCTCAGTAGAAATCATGACGATATAATGCAAATCCAAAACTGCAACCATTAAACTCTAACAAAGCAGGTCTCAAGATGAGTCAGACAGGAGGGAAGATCTTACCAGAGCGGTTCTCATGAAGTTTACTCAGCTTTAGAACACTGGAGCAGCAAAAGCCACTCAGAACTACACAAGCAGAGCCCCCTCAACTTCAGGAGATCACAAGTTCAATCCCTGGTGATGCCACAGCCATCGTTTAGACTCCCAGCCTGGCTGTCCCAGGGTAGACAGGATCATAGATATATACACCTATCAGGCATAACATTATGACCACCTCCTTGTTTCTACGCTCGTTGTCCATTTTAGCCCCCTTTCACCCTGTTCTTCAGTGGTCAGGACCCCCATGGACCCTCACAGAGCAGGTACTATTTGGGTGGTGGATCATTCTCAGCACTGCAGTAACACTGACGTGGTGGTGGTGTGTTAGTGTGTGTTGCGCTGGTCTGAGTGGATCAGACACAGCAGTGCTGCTGGAGTTTTTAAACTCTGTGTCCAGTCACTGTCCACTCTATTAGACGCTCCTACCTTGTCGGTCCATCCTGTAGATGTAAAGTCAGAGACGATAGCTCATCTGCTGCTGCACAGTTTGTGTTGGTCATCCTCTAGTCCTTCATCAGTGGTCGCAGGACGCTGCCCACAGGACGCTGTTGGCTGGATATTTTTGGTTGGTGGACGATTCTCAGTCCAGCAGTGACACTGAGGTGTTTAAAAACTCCAGCAGCACTGCTGTGTCTGATCCACTCAGACCAGCGCAACACACACTAACACACCACCACCACGTCAGTGTTACTGCAGTGCTGAGAATGATCCACCATCCAAATAGTACCTGCTCTGTGAGGGTCCATGGGGGTCCTGACCACTGAAGAACAGGGTAAAAGGGGGCTAACAAAGTATCAGAGAAACAGATGGACTACAGTCTGTAACTGTAGAACTACAAAGTGCACCTATATAGTAAGTGGAGCTGATAAAATGGACAATGAGCGTAGAAACAAGGAGGTGGTCATGATGTCATGCCTGATCTGTGTATGTGTCAAAATGATTGTCCATTAAGAGATGAGGCAGAAAAACCCTGGAGTATTCAGGCTGTAAATAAGGCAAAATAAGAGGTTTGTCGAAACCGTTTGCTCATTTAATCACCCTGTCATCTTCTTTTTTCTGTTTCAGATTGGACACATCGAAGGGCAGCCGGAGAGGAAAGGCGTCTTCCCCATGTCCTTCGTCCACATCCTGTCTGACTGACACCCACAAGTCTATCACCAGCCTGGGCACCACAGCCAGCCCACCTTGTTCATCTCTTACCAAGAGAAACGCTGTAAATAGCCGTTGTAACTTCCACAGCAGTTTAAAAAACAGAAAAAAAAAAAACAAACAACCACAAAAAGGAGCAGAAAGCGAAACCCCGTATTAACTTCCTCACCGTCAAGGAGGTGCAGTGCGACGAGTATCTAACTTTATCAGTGTTATCGTTCCTCTTTAGAACAGTCTACCACAGCCGGGACTGCACCCAGCATTTAGCCACATCCTCCACTTCAGCTGTTACTTAATGCTTTTGTATATAACGACTGTACATAGATATCTCGGTGTCGGCTGCACACAAACACAAACACGCCACCGTTCTTGTGTTTGTGTGTAAATATAAAACCTTGTGTTAGTGTGGCGAAAAGTAAAGGTGTGTAATTGTATTCTGCCTGTCAGCTAACCACACCCAGGGCCAGTTCTGTCCAGTGAACTGTAAAGTATTAATGCGGACTGGTCGTCGTTGACATGTTTGCCTTGCAGAGGAGTAAAAAGTTGTTCTGGACTGTATTGATATTATTAAGAATCAAATGTTTTTACCTCCACATCTCTCAGCGTACCACTATAGCACGTCCAAGGATGGAGTAGTCATAAGTTGTTTACTATCTCTCGCCCTGTGAAATAATCCAACCTGTGTAATGCACAACACCCATTATCGTGGTTAAACCGTGTCTCCTCGTCTTATGTCAACAGCTCCCTTCCACCTCCACTGACCTAGGCTCATCTCTTATACAGGACGCTGCTCTGAAATGTCGACCATTTGCGTATGTTTACGTTTCGCTCTCCTCCACTGTTCCAGATCCGGACAGAATCCACTGAGCTTCTTCTCTTCACCGTCTTTACGATTAGCATCGAAGGCATTGAGATGATGATGATGATGATACTTGAAGCATTCCATGCAAGGAACGTGTGTCCCATAGTTGTTTTCAAAGATGTGTTTTGAAACGGATTGAGAGAGGGACGTGCCGGATCATCAACACTAGCCTGTCCGGTGATAATCAGGTGCCGCCACTACCGCAGGAAACCAGTCAGATCTTCGCCGCGTCACGCGGGGAAAGCGATTTTAGTCCGATACTCAGGTTGTCAGTACAAATGCAGTGGAGTCGACCTAAAACAGATCTCGGCAGTCGCATAGATCTGCTGCGTTTACACTCAAAGAGCCACATGATGAAATTTGTAACCAACAGGTCTGTTTCAAAAGATTAAATAAAAATACTGTTTGAGATGGAAGGGTGAAATCCCGTGTTTGGTGTCGTCTCTTTGAAACCTGAGCAGCGCTGTGTTTAAATCATGACAAGCTTTGGCTTTCAGACTGGTCCACAGGGACTTTATCCCTGCTTTATCTCTGTGTGTTTCAAGTTAGGTTGGAGATGAGTCCCTGAGACCAGTTTGAGAACCACTGATGTGCAATACGATGCAACAGTCAGCCCCCTTCATTTACTTAAATTACTGTCAAAACAGCCGTTAAGTACAAGTTATTCATTTTTTCATGAGATATTTCCACTCGCATGGGTTACATAAGGAAGGAGAAAGTCAAAGAAAAAATTAGTTATCTTTTAAATGATTAAAAGCTACAGAGAAAATGGGGCTCCTAACAACCACCTGGAAGACCCAGAAGACCCCCAGCACTGCAGATAAACAGCACTTAAAGCCTTCCTCTTTGAGAGAGAGGAGAAAATCAAGCTGCTTCAGATCTGAAAACATCCACAGGTGTTTCTGTCCATCCTTCCACTGTGAGAAGACGACTCAGCGCTGTGGGTCTGAAAGGATGTGTAGCTGTCAAGAAGCTTCGCTGAGAAAAGAGGGTTTTATTTACCACTTCACCCCCAGAAAACAAGCCTTGTGTTGCCCACAGAGTGTCCAGTATCCTGAACTAATACACTGATCCAGTTTTTGTGTCGGTGTTATTTAAAAAAAGTGTCTTTTTTCCAAGAAAATTCTCTCCACATTAGCCGCACAGGCTGGTTTCCATTGTACTTGGCATGTAATTGCCGTCCTTTTCACATTCCTCTTAAATATACTTTGCAAACAACTTCTTAGATTTTACTTTGGGCATTATTTATTTTTTATTTATTTAGGCTTCAGTTTAACCAGGCAAGCCATTAAGAACATATTCTTATTTACAATGGAGGCCTGGCAGGTGCCGAAGGACACTTGGAGAAAAAAAAGGGAAAGAAAAGGGGGAAGAAAAGGAAAATCACAATAAACACACAATACACACAACAAAAAAAGATGTGCAGGTATCACTAAAAATACCTTTGATGCCGTCCGGTGTGGAAAAAATCCCTGCAGACTTCTTTAAAAACTGCAAGCAAGACATCTGAGGTTGTGTGGACTGATGAGTCTTTGAATCAGGTCCACAAGCTGAACTTTGGATGTAGAAGCCTGGAAAAATATCTGTGCAGAAAAGAAAGGAAGCTGTAATGAATATAAAGGGTGAACACGCCAAGTACTGAGAAATACTGATTATAATATTTAGTTGTTGAATTTTTTGTTGATTATGATTCCTGCTGTTTTTCCTTGATGCTAAATTATAAAAACCTTGTACTTAATGGTCATTTTTACAGGAAATTAGTTGGAGGGTGGCTTCTGACTTTTTCAGTACTACACGCTCTTAAAAACAGTTCTTTAAGGGTTCTTTAGTAGAGAAAATGGTTCTATATAGAGCCATGAACACTCAAAGCAACCCTTGGCATGATTAAAGGGTTCTTTTGGTGTAGAGGGTTCTGTATAGCACCAAAAAGGGTTTTGCCATTGCTACGATGGTTGTATGGTTGTAATAACAGAAGAACTCTTTCCAAAAAGTTTCTATATAGAACCATCTACAGCACATCCTCCATCAATCTGAAGAACCCTTTCATGATGCAAAGAACCCTTTAATCATGCGAAGGGTCCTTTGAGTGTTCATGGTTCTACATAAAACCATTTTCTTCACTTAGGAACACTTGAAGAACCGTCGTTTTAGGAGTGTATAAGCAGTAGTGTGAAAATCAAGATCACCCTGATTGTAGTCTGTAGCCAAGACGTTTAATATGAGGAGTTCCTTTTGCACTTAAGCTGCAAAGCTAATTGCATGTCTGCTCTTTAAAAGTGCTTCAAAACACAATAGCCAAGTAAAAGCCTTTGTACAGAAACAGTGATTAACAGCAGTGCTTATAAATCACTAGCAAGGAAAGGAAGCTTAGAGTCTTAGCGTTGTGTAAACTGCAGATCTACATCACAAACTTGCCTCAAACAGTGTTAAGTGATCTCAAGCTTGCTTATGTGGTTTCTGACACTGTATGACCTGGTTATCTACAAAAACAAGCTCAATTCAGGCTTCAGGGTGGCGTCTACAGTTTTGAGCTGTCCAGGGTAGATTTTTATAGATAACACTGAGTGTGTTAACATGCACTCAATAATCATGATCAGATTTCTGCAGTTATCCGATTATTCAGATGGTCATGTAAACACCATACTCCGATCTAGAAATCTAATTAGGAAATCTGATAAAGAGAGGCTGGATTTTAGCTCAGTAATCAGATTTCTCAGTGCATATAAGCTCTTACTCTGATTTCTATCAGCTTTCTCAGTCTGTGATGCGCGAGATCAGACGGTGGATGTCGCGAGACGTGGCATAAACACTGTTCGAGCGGCGCTGAAACCAAACACGAAATCATCTTCTAGATGATGTCTGTTCATATTTTCAGGTAAAGCATGGTGTTTAAAAAAAGCCACAGCATGAAGTTTGAGTTTTACGTTTATGTCACGACGACTTCTGTGAGTTTATTGGCTGGTTGTAAAGCAGAAATCTGATTACTGTCTGACTCATGTAGACAAGGAGTTTCCCCGTTATCTGATTACTCAAGCGCATGTAAAAGCTTTGATCGGATTACTGACAGAATCTGATTTTCTGCAGTTATCGGATTATTGAGTGCATGTAAACACACTCAGTGTCATAAAGTGTCAAATCACACAAACACGTCCACTTTAGATTATTTGGCTCGCTGTGGTTGGAGGATTGTGTGATTTAGGCAGGCAGTTTGCAGAATGCTGGTGAGATACAAGCTTCCATTACATGTTAGCTGCGTTAGCCTTGTGGCTCCAATGCAAAACTACAGACACAAATTTTGAACGCTAAACATGTTTTGGTGTAATGACTGTATTTGTGGAAAGAGGAAAATTGTAAATCTAGATTTTTCACCCACAGTGAGACGACTTTTTGTATTCTAAATGCCACTGAACATGTAGATACCAAGATCACTGCCAGCCTAGCACTGAGCTCTCAGGGACTGTGTACACCTAAATGGACAACAGGGACCCTTTTCTCTTTAAGCCCATCAGCATTCACAGCTGTGCAGTTCCCATTCTCAACTGCATTCAGTTCTGGACCGTTAGGCTGTCGGTTTGGCAGGTCCTGCGCTGGGAACTGCTTTCAAATGCAAGTAGGTGCTTCAGTGACATTATGCACCGGTCATTGTAAGTGGCAAGATGCAAATTCTGCTTCAGCCTCTCCGGCCCCTTAGCGCTAATTAGCGGCCCCGAGCGCTACATGACCATCTAACTCACCCACCAATACACATATCCCCACTTGAATTCCTTTAAAGTGGAATTCCACCAAATTTCCAGAAGGTCTGATGATTTAATGCATTTTGTAAGCATGATTTAAGCATCAAGATACTTTCATCTTAATGTTCATCTTCATTCTAGAAAAAACTTATTGCTGTCACCACAGTTATGATAAAGACCTCCGAAGTGTTAAGTTTTTTCACAAGAAGCTTAAATTATGACCATGTTGCAAGACATTTTACATTACTTTTGTCCTGGTTTTTCAATACTTTCATGATGTCCAGAGAATACTTTGTTTAGCACAGTTTGTTAAAAATTACATAAAAACTCATGCAGGTTTGCTGGTCATTTTGTATAGCAAATAAGATGTGTTGCATGCATTTAAAATAGGTTTTGGGCCAGGGGGGCCCAATTCTGGTCCTGGAGATGGGCCACTCTGGAGAGTTCAGATCCAACACACCTGGCTCTAATGCTCAGATGCCCCTGAAGGCCTTCATTACCTGGACCAGATGTGTTTCAGGCCAAAGATAAACTGTCCAGTGTGGTAGATCTCCAGGACCCTTGTTTTAGACTAGAACCTCAAAATCATGTTTTAATGCAGTGGTTTTTCCAGCCCTGGTCCTGGAGAGCTACCCTCCTGCACAGTTGAGTTCCAACCTGTATCCAATAAGCTGCCAACTCCTTACTTAATACATCTGATCCAGCCAATCAGGGACTTAGAGGTTGATTAGCTGGAGCAGGTGTGGCAAGCTGGCTTGAACTAGGTTCTGCAAGACTAAGGTTGGAGACCATTTTAAACAACGTATTCAAACATTTTTGTAATGACTGAGGCAGATTTTAGTGCCAGTAAATGCTTCAGATGTCTGGTTCCCATCACCACCATAAGGAAAATCCAAGTTTCTCTATGGTGCACTATTTCACATCAACCACTCAATGAGTTTGAACAGTTGGAACATTGGCAGAACACTGCTTTGAAGGTCTCCATCACTTCACTTAGACTTGAATTCTTCACGTCTAAAGCTACAACTGCACTGAACCAATACAAGAGGAATAAACCAGAACTTTTCCCTTTAAGGGAAAGTCATCTAGTTTAAGTGGAAAGTGAGTTAAGATGCTAGAATCCTGGCTGTACTAGCTTTAGTGACTTGTGTTCACTAACAGTGACTTGGTCACTTCCCACAATTCAAAACAAGTACATGTCAGTGTAGAAAGTCAGTGTTTTGATGTTAAATGGCTCAATAGAGAAACGTACTGACTCTGCAATATAGTCAAAACCAAGTGGTCATTTTATTTACCATCCAAAAATCAGTGAACCTAAAGTTTATAATGGTAAATAAACCATTTTGGGCTTAATTTTGCTTTACACTGCCCTGTACGTCCCTCTTGAATGGATTTTAAGTCTTTAAAATACCCAAACAGCCTCAGACATGCATAACCATTCACATAACAGGTAGCTTGCAGCAGCACTGAACTCTGGATCTTCGGTTCCCATCACCACTGCACTGTTTTTAAAAGTCAAACCACTCTTTACATTCGGGCCATATATTTATACAAGTATTTTAGTGTATTGAGTGTAATTGGTTTAACAAAGCATATTCAGTTTGGTGACAAAGGTACAACTGCATCGCTACCTTAGCAGTATTAGTCCCCATAACCAAGTTTGCTCTTCTCTCCTTGGAAGCCCGAGACCTCATTTAGAACCAGATGCATTTTGAAACTGAAGAAATGACACCGCACCATTTCATTACAGCACCACCTTCACTTTATTCAACCTTCGAGTAACAGGATTCATAAATAGAAGGGCTCCAGCATCAACTCAGGATTCAGATCCAATACATAATCATTCATTTCAGTAATCAAATTAAATTTTGCAGTCTAGCAACTTACAATCCAAGACCCAGGTGCTGATTCCAGCTCTGCCTACTTGCTCAGAAGCATCAACATAAAGTGCCACGATAAACAAAAGCAGCCTATAAAAGGCTCATACCAGACTGCTGGTAAACAAAAACATTCATAAAAGGGTTAAATGATCGACTCATTTTGTTACTTGAGCTTTCTGCCCAGACTTCTTCGCTTGTTCCACCTTCTCCACTGACTTGATCACCCCTACAGCAACAGTCTGCTTCAGGTCCCGGGCAGCAAATCGCCCTGAAAGGAACAGTGTTATAGTAAACATACAGCTGCTCAGGCTCTACAGTCCAGAGTGTTTCTGCAAAAACTGGGGTTCATGAAAAGGCACCATAACTCCTCACCTAAGGGAGGGTAGCTGAAGAAACTCTCCACACAAAGGGGTTTGATGGGGACGAGTTTGACCGTGGCAGCATCTCCTGACACCAGGACCTGGGGCCAGTCTTCCAGCTTCTTCCCTGTGCGGCGGTCAAGCTTTTCCCGCAGCTCGGCAAAGCGGCACGTCACGTGGGTGGTGTGGCAGTCCAGCACTGGAGAGTAGCCACTCTTGATTTTGCCTGGGTGATTCAGAATTATCACCTATGGGAAGAGACACATTAGCATAACAAAGCGATTCCCAATCCTGGTCCTGGAGCAGCCCTGCCCTTCACAATTTACCGTTTTCCCTGCCATCTCCATACCTTATCCAACTCATTGCAGCAGTGAAACACTAAAACATGCAAGGCAGGAGGTGCTCCAGGACCAGGGGTTGGGAACATGTGGCACAGTGCTGCCCAATCCAGTACAAATATAAATGCTCTGCATCACCTAATCTCAACTGGTCCAGCTCATGAGCTTATCAAGGTGAGAACAAGGAGTATGGGGTCCAAGCCTGGGACTGAAGATCCAACAGAGCATAACCTCTAAACTGCTCTACCTCAGATCCTCCAACCTGGTCCTGGAGTACCTTTATCCTGCATTGGTGTTTTCTGCACCTGATCAGCCTTTCATGGGTTTAAAATGATTGTAAAAGCAATTAAGCTGTAAACGAGCCATTCAGAGTGGTTTAATGTGAAGTGAGCATTCTGGAGAAACCCAGAGTTGGTCAGTGGTGGTGATAGGAACTAGACAAAGACAAGCATTTAATGCAAAATGGCCAGGCATACATGTCTGAGCAGGGGTGTCCAAATCTTGGTGTGGCTGCAGGTTTTTGTTCCAACAAAGCAATGCACAGTTCTTTGAAGACTGACTAGTTGATTAAGCAAGTGAAATCAGGGGTGATCCTGCTTGTTTGAAACGAAAACCTGCAGCCATACCTGCCTGGCCCCTTGCAGATAAGACTGACACCAATCTTAGACTGGTTTACAATAGTTTAAGATTAGGTTTTGGCTTTAAAAAGGATTTAAGTCATGGCAGAGGTCCACACAAGGTGGTGTAACAGTCCCCAAAGAACCAACCATTATCCAGATTACCTAAAGGCAACTTCCACAGATTTCCCACTAATTGAGCATCAACATTACATATAAACTCATACATGCAGGTTCACTGTGTTTGGATAGTAAATCAAACAGCGATTTGTGTTGGAGGCATCACAACCCCTGGTTCCCATCACCAGCAGTTCAAGTTTCTCTAAAATGAACCATTTCACAACAAACCACTCTGGATTTCTCTTTTAATTTGATCTGTTTTCTTCTATGATTCAAAATTAACTTATGATTTCTTGTATTACTGTTGAGATTTATCACCTGTCTGTAAAGCACTGAGCTGCCACCAGCAGGAAAAGTGCTGTAAATTATATTTCTACATCTCAACCACTGAATTGCTCAGATATTTTGAAAAAATGGGTGGAATTCCCCTTCAACCACTTCAGAATTTTACATTACATTGTGTGATCCCTTCCAGCAGATGAGAATCTGCACCATGCATGGGCGTGGTTATTTGAAAAAACTCATCGTAACATTTATTTAATCAGGTATTGGAATAAGGCACCTAGAATTTGGGGTCTAAAGAATAGTGACCAATTTTGACTGACCATTTAATGTAGAAATACAGACAGTGGCACAAAGTGCCTCTACAGTTTACTATTTCACACCAAACCACTCTGAATGACTTGAATCTTAAACACCTGTTTTACAACCATCCACACAAAGAGCTCATTTGCATGGCCCACCTGAGCAGTGAAGCTGCTGACATCAGATGGTGGGTCTTGCTGGGCATTACCGGCCACATCCCCCCGTCTTAGATTCTTCACAGCCACGTTCTTGATGTTGAACCCCACGTTGTGGCCAGGCAGTGCAGTCTGGAGCCCCTGGTGATGCATCTCGATGGACTTGACCTCTGCAGTCAGCTTGGCTGGGGAGAAGGTCAGAACCATGCCAGGCTTCAGGATCCCAGTCTCAATCTTGCCCACAGGAACTGTGCCAACCCCTGGGAAGGTGAACGAGGAGAATGAGTGACGTTAAACAATAAAGCCACATGTATTATCAGTGTATAGAACGAGTGATGAAAAAGCATAACCGCCAATTTTGTAGACATCTTGCAGGGGTAGACGGAGGGGCTTGTTAGCAGTTCGGACCGGAGGGTACAGCGAGTCCAGCACCTCCAACAGAGTTTTCCCACTCGAAAAGCCGTCCTTTCTCTTGATCTTCCAGCCTTTGAACCAGGCCATCTGGAAGAAAGGATCAGATAGAGTTAGCTGCAATCTAGCCACCAGCAAGGCTGTCCAGTTCATGTCCTGCTCAAACACCTGAAACCTGCTGAGCAAGGAATTCACCAGAACGAGCTGGACACTCGCTGTAGAGGTTCACGAACAAATCTCACCTTCTGCGACGGTGCAAGCATGTTCTCACCACCCCAACCAGACACCGGAACGAAAGGCACCGCCGTCGGGTCGTAACCAATCTTCTTGATGAAGACCATCACGTTCTTCACCACCTCATCGTAACGTTTTTGGCTGAAAGGTGGTTCGGTCAGGTCCATTTTGTTGACGCACACAATGAGCTGCTTGACCCCAAGGGTGTAAGCCAGCAAGGCGTGCTCCCTGGTCTGACCGTTACGAGATACACCTGCCTCAAACTCTCCTTTCGCTGCAGAAACAACCAGAAGAGCAGCATCGGCCTAGAAATGAGAACATTGGAGTGTTAGAACTAGACTACCACATTTAAGAGATGACAGGCAACGTTTGGAAGCACCCAGACATCAATCACTCAAAAAAAGATGGTTCTTCAAGGGTTCTTTAGTAAGGAGTGGTTCTATATAGAACCATGCACACAAAGAAACATTTGCATGCTTCAATGGTTCGTTTGGTTGATGAATGTGTTGTACAGGATTCTATAAAGAAACCTTTTTGAAGGATCAGCCTTTTTAGTGCTATATAAAAAACAACCTCCATCCATCTGAAGAACCATTTCACCATGCAGAGAAACTTTCAAGCACACAAGTGGTTCTTTGAGAGTTAATCCTTCTATATAGACCACTTTCTTTACTAAAGAACCCTTGAAGAACCATATTTAAGAGCATAGGATACGCTGGATACTACCTGAGACGTTCCAGTAATCATGTTCTTAATGAAGTCCCGGTGGCCAGGTGCATCTATTATTGTTATCACATACTTTTGAGTGTTGAACTTTAACAAGGAAATGTCAATGGTGATGCCACGCTCCCTTTCTGCTTTCAGCTTGTCTAGAACCCATGCGTATTTGAAGGAACCCTTGCCCATCTGCGGAGAAATACAGCTCAGTTTGGTATAAAAATAAGTAGAACCAGCCTGACAAGGGACTAAGGTGGAGGTTCATACCTGGGACGCAGCCTTCTCATACTTCTCCAGGGTTCTCGGGTCCACCCCGCCACATTTGTAAACGAGGTGACCCGTGGTCGTCGACTTGCCGCTGTCGACGTGACCGATGATGACCAGATTGATGTGAATCCTCTCTTTCCCCATGTCGTCGGTGAAGTCCTAGCACTATCAGTGTGGATGAACTGAGCTCTACTCTATGTTCTTCTGCCTGCTGTGATTTCTGCAGAAAGCAGACTGGTGGTTCTGATTGTTTATATAGCCTAAGTGACCAATCGTTTGGCTCCATCTGAACAGCCCACACTAATTGATCTCAGGTGAGTTAATCATGGTCAGGCTGAGCTCTGCTCTGACTCATTCCACAGCTCTGCTCTTGTATGCAGCTCAAAAGGCACCGGCTTATCTATTTACAGAAGACTTAATTAGGCTGCTTTGTGTTGAGTGTAGATCTGTTTTATCTGCTGAAGTGTGTCACTTGTGCGTATTGGGACTGGTTATAAAGACAGGATTTTATCTCCCAAAGAAAATGTGAAAAAAGAGAGAGAAAAATAAAAGACAATGCATTCAGCATTTTTAATTAGGCTGCATTTTGAATTAAACTCCAGCAGCACTGCTGTGTCTGATCCACTCACACCAGCACAACACATACTAACACACCACCACCATGTCAGTGTCACTGCAGTGCTGAGAATGATCCACCACACTAATAATACCTGCTCTGTGGGGGTCCATTGGGGGTCCTGACCACTGAAGAACAGGCTAACAGAGTATGAAACAGATGGGCTACAGTCTGTAACTGTAGAACTACAAAGTGCTCCTATATGGTCAGTGGAGCTGACAAAATGGACAGTGAGTGTAGACACAAGGAACTAAGGCCGACCGATTAATCAAACTCCACCAATTTTTTACCAAATTTCTGCATAATTCAGTGTTTGAGATGTAAACAGAGTGATTCAGAGTGGTTTGGTGTGAAATGGTTCAGATGTCTTTACAGTGGTGGTGATAGGAACCAGACATCGCCATGACTACAACACTAATATAGACATTTTATTTACCATCCAAAACCACCAGTGAACCTACATGAGTCTTCTGAGTGTTTATATGGGATGTTGATGATAAAATAGAGGAAAATCTGAAGAAAATAAAGCTTTCTTTGGGGACTATTTTGCCTTATAACACCCTAAACACCCTGCATGTAAGAACTTTATCACAAAACTGTCATAAATCAGTGTCTCAGTCATCAGGTAGTGATGTTCATAACCATTTCATGGAATAGCTTTCTGTGCGGGAGCTTTTAGAGGTGGACGTCTGGTTCCTATCACCACCACTGTGAACAGTTCTGACTCTGTACGTTTCTCTAGAACAGAGCGTTTCACACCAAACCACTCTGAACCACTCTGTTTACATCTTAACCACTTAATTATGGAGGAATTTAGAAAACATTTGTGGGGTTCCACTTTAATGTAATGTAGGGGCTGATCAGTGTAGTCCAGATAACGGGACTCGGTCAGGTGTGGCGGGCAGAGCAGTTGCTCCAGCGGGCCACAGGGGGCGCTAGAGAACCAGTAGTGTTTTACAATGAACTACAATTGAATGCATGTTCAATACAAGACGTTATTTGCTGAAAGAAAAGCCCAGCTGTAGCCTCCTGCCTCGGAGGAGTGCTCCACTGCGGTCTGTTTCTCTCCGTTTTCTCCAGTGGAGCTCCTCTCTGAACCTGTCCACGAGCTCAGTGACGTCTCACAACCCGGAAACAGCAGCGAGACAGCTGAGAGAGGGAGGGAGAAGTGAAGCACTCTGCCCGGAGCTCGGCGAGGTACCCGGACTCCGTACGGCTTTCTCCACGGTCCTCCTGTCCTGTCCAGGTACGTCCCAATCCATCTTTGTCTTCCCGCTGGAGGTGGCGAGGCGCTCCGCGGCGCTGTGCCGAGAGCGCAGCCGGCTTTGGGAGCGTTCAGCCGGGCATGCAGCCGTGAGAGCTCCGCGGCGTGACTGAGCGGTGGTCGGAGGTTGCGGCCCAGAACTTGTGAAGCATGTCGCTGAGAGGGTCTGTGGGTCGAGCAGACCCCTTTTAAGCTCTGGTCCAAAGCTAAATGGGGGGCAAAAGGCCGCTACCCTGACGAGGCTCAAGTTGGCTTCCTATTCGCCAGCTTCTTGTTCGAATTTCCCCGTCCCACCTTAAATGGTGCATGCAGTCACACCAGTAGCCTGAGGCGCCAGAATGTAACTTCTGCACCATTTAAGGTGGAACGGGAAAATTCGAACAAGAGGCTGTGCTACAAGTAACTCAACAATAGATTAACGGTAAGGTTGGCTGGGTAGGAGGGGTGGACGATATGGGCACAATAGTGTATCGCGATACTTTTCACGATACACGATACACGATATGCATCACGATATTTAGTTTTTCTGAGATTAAATGAGTTGGAACAGAGAAAACAGAACATGTAATGCCACATACAAATACAATACTACTACTACTGCTAATAATAAAACTACATGCTCAAAAAGATGGTTCTTTAAGGGTTTTTAGTAAAGGCAGTGCTTAAATGCCTTGCATGGTGAAATGGTTCTTCAGATTGATGGAGCATGTGTTTATGGTTCTATGTAGCACCAAGAAGGGTTCTTTTATTGTTACGTTTCTATCACAATAGAAAAACCCTTTCTGGTGCTATATAGACCCGTTAATAAAAAGGCACCAAATAAGAACCATATACAGCACATTCTCCACCAAGCAAAGAACCGTTTAAGCATGCAGGTGGTTCTACATAGACCTCTTGTTTATGAATAGAGCCATTGCCTTTACTAAGGAACCACATTTAAGTGTCTACAGTGATTTTTATTCGGTGGTTTACAAACTGCACTGCGCTAAATCCAGTTAAACAGGCCCAATTATGCTCACTTTGTAATGAAACATGTAGTTAGCACTCTTTAAGTACTGACGATATCCATGATATGCTCAGAAAAGATATCGTGACCTTATTTATCACGATAATGATAAAATATCGTCATATCGCCCACCCCTATTGGTGCTGTATTGGCTGTATGGTCATTTTTACATTCAAACTTTTATGCGAATCTGGCTTGGTTCAGTTTAGGTGAATGAAATTTTAAGTCACTCCAACAACTCTGGATTTCTGATCTGCATGGCAGTGTACACTGGGTGCTTTCTGGGTAGATTTTAGTTATAAACAATGTTTATGCACCCTTAAAGCTATAGAATGCGGTTTGAGGTCCAGTTGTGCACTTTAGATGAGCTTTAAAGGTACACATTCACTTTTTCAGAGGAAAGGGGCACATTTGGAGCTTTTCGTGTGTTTTTTAGTTAGAAAAATGACATGAAAAGCTGGGATTTGGTTTCAGTAAATTTTGAAGCGAATATGGTTGGATTATCTTCCCCAACTAAGGGACCACCCCAGCATTTGTGCCCTGGAAAGTGAAACCGTACACCGTGCACAGGCTCGAATATGCTCATTCCGGATGGGCATGTGGAGCAAACGAATGTGCTCTTGTAGCAGATCCAGTATGTGTGATGCCCATCCTGCCTGTGAGTGGTCAGAATGGACAGAATGCACTTTTCTTTTTTTTTTGCCAACCTCAGAACACTTGCGCACTGTTTCAGTTTCAGCAGTTGGCCTTCACACTTGCTTTTCTGACCGGGCTTGGGTGCTGCCCAAGCATTTGAACTGCAAAATGTCAAGTGTAATTGGTTTTGAGCCCCTTTGCCAGAGCTGCTGGTCCATGTCGATGCAAATCCAAAGTGTGTTTACATTGTGACCTCCCTGTTCTCCCTTTGGAGAGATTTTTCGGTTGTTAACCTGTAGATTTGATTGGCTTTGTGGATAGCAGCAAGACAAAGTGGTGTTCCTGTGTCTTTGCACATGCTTGCACGCTTCAGACATCCTGCAGAAAGCTTGTGTGAATGTGGCGCACCACATTCATCAATCATTCTGCAGTGAGTTACCGACTCGGCCGGGATTTGCCTCAAATTTTGCTTCCATTCTGGCAAATCCTTCAGCTTTGCGCGGTACGAAGTGCCCGAGCTGAATTCGGTGATCCCGCCGCCCTGCTGTCGCCTGTCCTTTCTTCCCCTTTTATGGTATGTAGGTAAGACTCTGAAAGTGGAAGCAGAAAGAAGACAGGAAGTTAGCGTGCTGGTGGTTATGAGACATTATGTGTCAGCCGCTCGTGTAAGCGTAGCCATATTGACTGCTCTTCCCAGCATGGCCATTTGTTCTGTTTGGCATCCCATCTGTGGGAGTGGGAGGATGCTGAGAGCTCTGAATCGCTGCTTTTCATTTGTGATACATCAGACAGGATCAAAGCAAACCCAGCACTCTCTCGAGCATCACGCCGAGCTGCACGGCTCCATTCAGCTGGGAGTGTGCAGTGATGCTCCTGTCCTTTCCTTTTCTCTGAGACCTCTGTGTTTTTGACAAGCTAGCAGCAGGTGATGGTTTGCTGGGAGGCCTGAGAATGGATGGATAGTTGGACGGATGGATGGATGGATAGTTGGATGGACGGATAGTTGGATGGACAGATGGACAGATAGTTGGATGGATAGATGGACAGATAGTTGGATGGATAGATGGACAGATAGTTGGATGGATAGATGGACGGATAGTTGGATGGATAGATGGATGGATAGTTGGATGGACAGATGGACGGATATTTGGATGGATAGATGGACAGATAGTTGGATAGATGGATGGATAGACGGACAGATAGTTGGATGAATGAATGGATGGATGGATGGATAGATGGACGGACGGATGAATGAATGGATGAATAGATGGACGGATAGTTGGATGGATAGATGGGTGGATAGTTGGATGGATAGTTAGACGGATGGATGGACTGATGGGTGGATAGATGGATGGGTAGTTGGACGGATAGTTGGATCGATAGTTGGATGGATAGATGGACGGATATTTGGATGGATTGGTAGACGGATGGATGGACGGATAGTTGGACGGATAGATGGACAGATAGTTGGATGGATATTTAGATGGATATTTGGATGGATAGTTAGACGGATGGATGGACGGATAGTTGGATGGATTGGTAGACGGATGGATAGATGGACGGATGGATGGATAGATGGACGGATGGATGGATAGATGGACGGACGGATGGATGGATAGATGGATGGATAGATGGATGGACAGATGGATGGATAGATGGACGGATGGATGGATGGATGAGATGGATGGATAGATGGACGGCCGGATAGATAGATGGACGGATGGATAGATGGATGGATAGATGGATGGACGGATGGATGGATGGACGGATGGATGGACGGATGGATGGACGGATGGATGGACAGATGGATGGATAGATGGATGGACGGATGGATAGATAGATGGATGGATAGATGGACGGCCGGATAGATAGATGGATGGATGGATAGATGGATGGACGGATGGATGGACAGATGGATGGATGGACGGATGGATAGATGGATGGATGGATGGACAGATGGATAGATGGATGGACAGGTCGTAGAGCTGGGCAATATGTCACAATATGCTTTTCTGGGCATGTCATTCATATCATCGGTATTTCCGACTGCATGTTTGATTCCTACGAGAGAATAATTAAAGATCGTTAAAAGCACAAATAAACTTTACAGATGTCAGCTTTGGATTGGTCGGTGTGAGCTCACCTGCTTTCCTCCGTCATTTCATTTTTTAATATAGTTGTAGTTGGTAATATGAGCCAGTTTGACAGAATAATAAGCAGAATGACTCAAGACGGGAGCCTGAAAGCTGATGCTCAGCAAATTTTTTGGATATGAACAACTTCAGTAAGTTGCTGTTTTAACCATAATGCATGCAGTAATGTGCTGAAAGAGTATTCAAAGAGAGCTCAGTCTGACCTTGGTGAAGGAGCGTCTTCTGAGGATGAGTGAATTATCTACTGCTGTCATCACATCTTCATCAGTATGATGTTGACTGAGATCATTTGAGACCTAAACATCGAGCCAGACCTTCTTTTTGAGTCTGTGTGTGATGTTGATACATAAAGACGTACAACATGGTGTGGAAAACTCCCTCCAAATCCATCCCAGTACCTCTGACGTTTAAATGGTTATTTACAGGGCGACTCACAGCGGCGCACACTCACCATATCGTAGTGTTATTTTTCTCCATACTCGGTAATGCTGCTTCTTTCAGTTCAGACAACAAATATTAGATAGTGCTGTTTTAGCCAGGTCACCTCAAGGCCAGCAGAGAAAACTAACGGGGCTTCAGGGCTGCACTGAGTGCAGTAGAGCTGAACGATTTGGGTGAAATATCTAATTGCAAATTGTATTTATTTTCTTAAATAGATTTTTTTTGTGGTTTTGTGGTTGTGATGTCACAGCACATGGGCATTTGGTTGCTTCTGATTGGCCTAGCTCTTCTACAAGCAGTTCACAAGCTCTGTGTTATGAGGTTAAACCTCCCCCCTTAAAACTTCTTCATAATGTGGACTATAATTAAAACTGCAGCTCTCGTGATTTGAAAATTGCACTCTTTCAAATTGTGATTTCGATATAAAAATGATGTAATCTTTAGAGTGCAGCAGCGTTTATACACATTTCTTTCATTTGGCTGTTATAGAAAGGCTGAATCGAGGGCTGTTAAAGTATCCAGGCGGTTACATCAGTAGTTGCGTCCTCCTGAAATAGCTGTGTTGCCGTGTGTCACAGAGAGAGCTCTGGCTGCTTACTGGAACATTTTGCTGGAGCAGCACGTCATCCGGTGTCCATGGCTTACTGGCGAAATTCACGGTCACGTATTTCGAGGAGGGTTGGTGACGGCTGTCTTAGAGACTGTTTTACGTTCGTTTTGGGCCTACAGTGTGTTTTATTTGTATA